ACCCACCCCCCCTCGACCCCCACGCGACCCACCTCCCCCCAGGTCACACACAGACACACAGACACACACAGATGCACAGACACACAGATACACAGATAATCAGACACACCGATACACAGATACACAGACATACAGATACACAGATACACACAGACACAGACACACAGACACACACAGATACACTGACACACATACACAGATAATCAGACACACCGATACACAGACACACAGACACACAGATATACAGACACACAGACACACACAGATACACAGATACACAGACACACCGATACACAGATACACAGACATACAGACACACAGATACACTGACACACATACACAGATAATCAGACACAGCGATACACAGACACACAGGCATACACAGACACACAGATACACAGACACACAGATACACAGACACACAGATACACACAGACACACAGACACACAGATACACAGATACACAGACACACAGACACACACAGACACACAGACACACAGACACACAGATATACAGACATACACAGACACACAGACACACACAGATACACAGACACACAGCTACACACAGACACACAGAGACACAGACACACAGACACACAGATATACAGACATACACAGACACACAGACACACAGACATACAGATACACAGACACACACAGACACACACAGAAAACAACAACCGCCATTCGCCACTAAGTGGCGGTGACGTCACCACGACGCTTGTGCCAGGCTATGTGCACCCTGAGGCCACGTGAAGTGTTGAACGCCCGCTGGCAGGAGGTCACGGGGCAGACCCAGGTGCCACGGGTCGACTGACTGAGATGACTGGCTGATGCACCACCTGAGCCCCCTACTGTGCCAACCCGCTGTGCTTCAGCCACCCGGCGCTCCGCTCGATGTAGTGAGTGTCGCTCCTCCGCCCTCCGTTGTTGTTGGAGGGTGACTACCTCCAACTGCCCAGTAGCGTCCTTCACGAGCCTCCTCCACAGAGGCCGATTTTGACACCGCTGGTACCAGTCATCGGCAAGTCCACTCAGCTCCACGTCCTCCTGTACCACATCACTCCATCTCTTCTCTAGCCTGTGCCGCGCCCGTTTAGCCCCCTCAATCCGGCTGAACAAAAGCTTTTTCGGCATGCGGTGGCTGGGCATGCGGGCTACATGACCCAGCCATCGCAGCCAAGCCCACCAGAGGAGCTCACCGATGGGACCTTGCCCAGATCTTTCAAGGATTTGTGAGCTCCTCACACAATCCAGCCTGGTTAAACCCAGGATGGATCGTAGGCAGGCCAGCCTAAATGTTTCTAACCGGCGAAGATGTTCCATTAGGGGGGTCCACGTTTCGCAAGCGTAGAGAAGGGAGGGAATGACCGTGACCGAGAAGACCTGAAGCTTAGTGCGGAGCGACAGAGCAGGTAGCTTCCACACAGAGTTACGCAACTGATGAAAAGATATTGCTGCTCGACTGATTCAGAGTGAAACCTCTGCTGTTAAACTGGAGCCGGTCATAAGCACACTGTCCAGGTATGGGAAACTCTCCACTCTCTCCACAACTGCCCTATCACCGATTGGGAGTTGTGGGGGTGGAGTGTCCGATGGTACAAAATACCCAGGCAGGTGCTTAGTTTTGGTGGAGCTGATGGTAAGGCCCCACCTCTTAGTGGCATGCTCCAGTCTCACAGGCAGCGTCTCCAACTTCTCCTCTGAATGAGCAACTATTACCAAATCATCAGCATACATAACGTGGTTGAGCAATAGGGAGCCATTCCTTGACTGCACCCGGACATCGATCAGCCTCCCATTATATCTGTACCAAATGGAGATTCCCCCGGTACAGCTATTGAAGGCTTCACGAACTACGTGGTCAAAATAGATGTTAAATAATGTGGGGGCCAGAGCACATCCCTGTCGCACCCCAAGGTGCACAGGGAATGGCTCTGACTCCCGGCCACGTAGTTTTACCCGGGCCCGTTCACCATCATGAAGGTCCTTAATGATCGTGAGCAGAGGGTCAGGTACTCCAAAAGCACGAAGAACAACCCAGAGCCCAGGCCTACTGATGGTATCAGAGGCCTTGACCAGGTCAACAAAGCGGAGATGTAGGTCTTGCTGGAATTCCCTACACCTCTGCTGTAGCAAACAGACACAAAATATGGCATCTGTGCAGGACCGCCCTTTCCTGAAACCGCATTGGGGCTCCGCAAGCCTCTCCTCAGCGTGCCTGGCAAGGCGATGTTGAATAATCCTTGCCAGGACCTTTCCCAGCACACTGAGGAGTGAGATGCCCCTGTAACTGTTACAGTCTGTGCTGTCCCCCTTCTTAAAAAGGGGGACCACAAGGGGATCCTTCCAATCCTGCGGAACCCGTCCAGTGGTCCAGACTGTTGTTATGATGTCATGTAGGGCAGTCTGTGCACAAACGCCGTCCTCCCTCAGCATTTCGCTTGGGAGATCATCTCTGCCCGCTGCCTTTCCTGGTCTCAGACTCCGGATCGCCTTCAGTACTTCCTCAACAGATGGCACCTCAGCCAGCCACTCAAAGGGGGTGACTAATTCCAAGATTTGAGGCACCGCAGCCTCAGCAGGGTCATCCTCACTTTGTGCCACGATGTTTTCCTGGCTGAGGGATTTTCCCTCCCCCGGGACCTCACAGAAATGCTCAGAAAATCTGTAAACCTGTTCCTGGGGGTCGGAGATTGGATCACCGTTTTTTCCCCTAATGATGGTAATAGGTGTGGCGCTGCAGATTTCTTTTTTGATGGAGTTAAATAGAGATTTGTGATCACAGGCCACTGAGGCAGACTCCATCTCCTCAGCAACCCGCGACCACCACCCATCCTTGCAGCGCCTCATGGCTCTCCGAACCTCCGAGCGAATGCTGCGGTAAACCTCCTCATTCTCTGACGTGGGATTCTGTAGCCGATGAGAGTGGGCCTGTCGCTTTTTCTAAACCATCCTGAACACCTCCTCTGTCAGCCAGGGTCTCTGAGGAGGACTGGACCGCGTACCCAAAGCAGCCATTGCAGCTGCATGAGTCACAGTCCTAAACCTCGCCCATTTACCCTCGACATCAGGAGGAGTCGGGGTCGATGCCAATTCCAGCCGCAAGCGATGATGAAATTCTCGCTTGCAACTTTCATCAGATAACCGAGACCAGGCCACTTTAGGTTGGAATGAGGTCCTGGATGTACACGCACCACCGGAGTGGAAGAATGGCAGGAGCATCTTACAGATGACTAGTCGATGGTCAGAGGGCAGATCAGCTCCACGGTAGGTCCTGGTGTCAAGGACATGGGCTCGCATCCGCTGGTCCGTCACTATGTAGTCCAGCAGATGTTCTTGCTTGGACCCAGCATGCATCCATGATGTTGTGTGGGTGCTCCGATGCCGGAACAGCGTGTTGGTAATTACAAGCCCATGGGCTGCACAAAAATCTCCTACCGTTGTTATTGAGCTGATCTGGCCCATGCCCTCCAATCACTCCAGACCAGCTGCCATCATCATGACCAACTCGGGCATTGAAGTCACCCAACAAGATGACTCTATTCCGAGGGGCCACTTTAGCCAGCACCTGTGACAGGAGGTCATAGAAGGCATCTGACTCATCGGCTTTGCCTGCATCCCTCCACGGATGTTCGTCTTCAGTGGGGGCATAAGTAACCACGACCACCACTCCTCGCCTCCGGTTGATGGGAAGGTGAGCCCAAAGTAGACTGGGGCTTACACCTTCCCACACCTCACCGCCACGCTCCCACGCCCCCTTCATTCTTTTGTTCAAAAGAAGAACCACACCCTGTTGTTTGGCAGTCTGCTGCCCTGAGTAGAGGACTGTCCACCCCTCATGGTGGCAGGAGCCAGAACCGGTCCACCGGACCTCCTGAATGGCACAGAGATCCAGGCGGTACCGGTCCAGCTCCCGACAGAGGAGTGGCAGCCTCTCCTCCGCAGTGAGCATTCGAACATTCCACGTGGCCACCCGAAGTGGCTTTTCTTTGTTTCTGGAGGAGCCCCGAGGGTAGAGATTCAATCTCCTGACTCCGCCAATTGGGGTTTGGCCAGGAGACGTCATAGACACCTGTCCCCCCGGGGCCTCCGGCACAAGCTTATTAGTTACATATTTTAGTCGTAGTTTAGTGGTAAATGTTTGAAGGTGGAGGGGTTACCAGCCCGTCGCACCCGTCCAGAGCCCCGGTTTAGCCACTGTGGTGGTCACAGATGCCATGAGGGGAGGAGTCAATCGGAATTGGCCCTCCCCCCACAGCACTGTCCACGACAGAGTTACCCATCCGACACCGCGAGGAGGTAGGGGGTTGTTTTGCCACACATAGACACACACAGACACACAGACACACATAGACACACAGACATACACAGACACACAGATACACAGACACACATACACACAGACACAACAACAACAACAACCGCCATTCGCCACTTAGTGGCGGTGACATCACCACGACGCTTGTGCCAGGCTATGTGCACCCTGAGGCCACGTGAAGTGTCGAACGCCCGCTGGCAGGAGGTCACGGGGCAGACCCAGGTGCCACGGGTCGACTGACTGAGATGACTGGCTGATGCACCACCTGTGCCCCCTACTGTGCCAACCCGCTGTGCTTCAGCCACCCGGCGCTCTGCTCGTTGTTCTGAGCGTCGCTCCTCCACCCTCCATTGTTGTTGGAGGGCGACTACCTCCAACTGCCCAGTAGCGTCCTTCACGAGCCTCCTCCACAGAGGCCGATCTTGACACCACTGGTACCAGTCATCGGCAAGGCCACTCAGCTCCACGTCCTCCTGTACCACATCACTCCATCTCTTCTCTAGCCCGTGCCGTGCCCGCTTAGCCCCCTCAATCCGGCCGAACAAAAGCTGTTTCGGCATGCGGTGGCTGGGCATGTGGGCTACATGACCCAGCCATCGCAGCCTTTCCCGCCGGAGGAGCTCACCGATGGGTCCTTGCCCAGATCTTTCAAGGATTTGTGAGCTCCTCACACAATCCAGTCTGGTTAAACCCAGGATGGATCGTTGGCAGGCCAGCCTAAATGTTTCTAACCGGCGAAGATGTTCCATAAGGGGGGTCCACGTTTTGCAAGCGTAGAGAAGGGAGGAAATGACCGTGGCCGAGAAGACCTGAAGCTTAGTGCGGAGCGACAGACCAGGTAGCTTCCACACAGCGTTACGCAGCCGATGAAAAGATATTGCCGCTCGACTGATTCAGAGTGAGACCTCTGCTGTTAAACTGGAGCCAGTCATAAGCACACTGCCCAGGTATGGGAAACTCTCCACTCTCTCCACAACTGCCCCATCACCGATTGGGAGTTGTGTGGGTGGGGTGTCCGATGGTACAAAATACCCAGGCAGGTGCTTAGTTTTGGTGGGGCTGATGGTAAGGCCCCACCTCTTAGTAGCACGCTCCAGTCTCAGGAGCAGCGTCTCCAACTCCTCCTCTGAATGAGCAGCTATTACCAAATAATCAGCATACATAACGTGGTTGAGCAATAGGGAGCCATCCCTTGACCGCACCCGGGCATCGATCAGCCTCCCTGTACCATATGGAGATTCCCCCGGTACAGCTATTGAAGGCTTCACGAACTACGTGGTCAAAATAGATGATAAATAATGTGGGAGCCAGAGGATATCCCTGTCGCACCCCAAGGTGCACAGGGAATGGCTCTTACTCCCGGCCACGTAGTTTTACCCGGGCCCGCTCACCATCATGAAGGTCCTTAATGATCTTGGCAGAGGGTCAGGTACTCCAAAAGCACGAAGAACAACCCAGAGCCCAGGCGTACTGATGGTATCATAGGCCTTGACCAGTTCAATAAAGCAGACATGTAGGTCTTGTTGGAATTCCCTACACCTCTGCTGTAGCAGACAGACAGAAAAATAGAAAATATGGCATCTGTGCAGGACCGCCCTTTCCTGAAACCGCATTGGGGCTCCGCAAGCCTCTCCTCAGTGTGCCTGGCAAGGCGATGTTGAATAATCCTTGCCAGGACCTTTCCCGGCACACTGAGGAGTGAGATGCCCCTGTAGTTGTTACAGTCTGTGCTGTCCCCCTTCTTAAAAAGGGGGACCACCAGGGCATCCTTCCAATCCTGCGGAACCCATCCAGTGGTCCAGACTGTTGTTATGATGTCATATAGGGCAGTCTGTGCACAAACGCCGTCCTCCCTGAGCATTTCGCTTGGGAGATCATCTCTGCCCGCTGCCTTTCCTGGTCTCAGTCTCCGGATCGCCTTCAGTACTTCCTCAACAGATGGCACCTCAGCCAGCCACTCACAGGGGGTGACTAATTCCAATATTTGAGGCACCGCAGCCTCAGCAGGGTCATCCTCACTTTGTGCCACGATGTTTTCCTGGCTGAGGGATTTTCCTTCCCCCAGGACCTCACGAAAATGCTCAGCAAATCTGTAAACCTGTTCCTGGGGGTCAGAGATTGGATCACCGTTTTTCCCCTAATGATGGTAATAGGTGTGGCGCTGCAGATTTCTTTTTTGATGGAGTTAAATAGAGATTTGTGATCACAGGCCACTGAGGCAGACTCCATCTCCTCAGCAACCCGCGACCACCACCCATCCTTGCAGCACCTCACGGCTCTCTGAACCTCCGAGCGAAGACTGCGGTAAGCCTCCTCATTCTCTGACGTGGGATTCTGTAGTCGATGACAGTGGGCCTGTCGCTTTTTCTCAACCATCCTGAACACCTCCTCTGTCAGCCAGGGTCTCTGGGGAGGTCTGGACCGCGTACCCAAAGCAGCCATTGCAGCTGCATGAGTCACAGTCCTAAACCTCGCCCATTTACCCTCGAGGGCAGATCAGCTCCACGGTAGGTCCTGGTGTCAAGGACATGGGCTCGCATCCGCTGGTCCGTCACTATGTAGTCCAGCAGACGTTCTTGCTTGGATCCAGCATGCATCCATGATGTTGTGTGGATGCGCCGATGCCGGAACAGCGTGTTGGTAATTACAAGCCCATGGGCTGCACAAAAATCTAGCAGCCTCCTACCGTTGTTATTGAGCTGATCTGGCCCATGCCCTCCAATCACTCCAGACCAGGTGCCAGTATGATGACCAACTCGGGCATTGAAGTCACCCAACATGATGACTCTATCCCGAGGAGCCACTTTAGCTAGCACCTGTGACAGGAGGTCATAGAAGGCATCTGACTCATCGGCTTTGCCTGCATCCCTCCACGGATGTTCATCTTCGGTGGGGGCATAAGTAACCACGACCACCATTCCTCGCCTCTGGTTGATGGGAAGGTGAGCCCAAAGTAGCCTGGGGCTTACAGCTTCCCACACCTCACCGCCACGCTCCCACGCCCCCTTCATTCTTTTGTTCAAAAGAAGAGCCACACCCTGTTGTTTGGCAGTCTGCTGCCCCGAGTAGAGGACTGTCCACGCCTCATGGTGGCAGGAGCCAGAGCCGGTCCACCGGTCCTCCTGAATGCCACAGAGATACAGGCGGTACCAGTCCAGCTCCCGACAGAGGAGTGGCAGCCTCTCCTCCGCAGTGAGCGTTCGAACATTCCATGTGGCCACACGAAGTGGCTTTTCCTTGTTTCTCGAGGAGCTCCGAGGGTAGAGATTCAAACTCCTGGCTCCGACAATTGGGGTTTGGTCAGGAGACGTCATAGACGCCTGTCCCGCCGGGGCCTCCGGCACAAGCTTATTAGTTACATATTTTAGTCGTAGTTTAGTGGTAATTTTTTTTAAGGTGGAGGGGTTACCAGCCCCTCGCACCCGTCCAGAGCCCCCGTTTAGCCACTGTGGTGGTCACAGACGCCATGAGGGGAGAGGGCCAATTGGAATTGGCCCTCCCTCCACAGCACTGTCCACGACAGAGCTACCCGTCCGGCACCGCGAGGAGGTAGGGGGTTGTTTTGCCACACACAGACATACACAGACACACAGATACACAGACACACATACACACAGACACACACAGGCACACACAGGCACACAGACACACAGATACACAGACACAGACCGGAACTCATCTTCTTTGGTTCTTTCGGTAAAGTCACGTAGAATGAGAATAAAATAATAAATTGATAAAATAAAATAACACAATAATATTCTCACGACGTTTCGGCCACAACACAAGCGGCCTTCGTTCGCTCCAGCGCTGTCCTCCAGACAGTCTCGTCCCTTCACCTGATGAAGGCCGCTTGTGTTGTGGCCGAAACGTCGTGAGAATTTAATTGCGTTATTTTATTTTATCAATTTATTATTTTATTCTCATTCTACGTGGTGGTGACTTTACCGAAAGAACCAAAGAAGATGAATGCTTGCAGTCACGAAAGCTTTAAATCGAAACAGACCGGGACGCTGCATCACTGCTGTCGCCCGTGTCTATCGATGGCCGATAGATTCCGGCAGCAGCCAAACTCCCCACTCACTGCTGCACTACACCGGCGTGTGGCACATTCTGATGATGATACTGCTGCTGATGCTGACGCTAGTGATGATGATGCCACTGATGACGACACTGCTGCCGATGCTAATGATGATGATGATTATGGTGAATGTTTGGCAGCGAGTGAGCTGGCTGTATCTATGTCCTCGCAAGGGACAACCCAAGAGGAGGGGATTTGATGTCCGCATTTCACTCGTGGCTGGATGGGACCCATGTCATTGTCCTCCCCTTTGACCCCGTGACCCTGTGACCCCGTGACCCTGTGACTCTGTGTTCCCCCCATGTACCTCCCCGTGTCCCCTCCGTGTGCTCCCCTTGTACCCACTGTGTATCCCCCTTGTACCCCTGTGTGTGTCCCCCTTGTACCCCTGTGTGTATCCCCTTGTACCCCTGTGAGTCCCCCTTGTACCCACTGTGTATCCCCCTTGTACCCCTGTGTGTCCCCCTTGTACCCCTGTGTCCCCTTTGTACCCCTGTGTGTATCCCCTTGTACCCCTGTGAGTCCCCCTTGTACCCACTGTGTATCCCCCTTGTACCCCTGTGTGTGTCCCTTGTACCCCTGTGAGTCCCCCTTGTACCCACTGTGTATCCCCCTTGTACCCCTGTGTGTGTCCCTTGTACCCCTGTGTGTCCCCCATGTACCCCTGTGTGTCCCCCTTGTACCCCTGTGTATCCCCCTTGTACGCCTGTGTGTCCCCCTTGTACCCCTGTGTGTCCCCCTTGTACCCCTGTGTATCCCCCTTGTACCCCTGTGTGTGTCCCTTGTATTCCTGTGTGTGTCCCTTGTACCCCTGTGTGTCCCCCTTGTACCCCTGTGTGTCCCCTCTCCCCCCATCCCCCAGGCTGGCACACGTGGCCTTCAACGTGTCGCTGCAGCTGCTGCTGGGGGTGCCGCTGGAGATGGCGCACGGCACGGTGCCTGTGCTGGCGCTCTACCTGGCCGGGGTGCTTGCAGGTGAGTCACGAATCACGCACACACACAGGTGAGTCACACATACACAGTGTGACACTGTGTGTGTGTGTGTGTGGCTCACACACACACACACAGTGTGACACTGTGTGTGTGTGTGAGCCACACACACAGTGTGAGCCACACACACACAGCGTGACTCACACACACACAGGTGATTCACACACACACAGTATGAGGCACACACACACACAGGTGAGTCACACATACACAGTGTGACACTGTGTGTGTGTGAGCCACACACACACACACAGTGTGAGTCACACACACACACAGGTGATTCACACACACACCGTGTGAGTCACACACACACAGTGTGAGTCACACACACACAGGTGAGTCACACATACACAGTGTGACACTGTGTGTGTGTGAGCCACACACACACACACACAGTGTGACTCACACACACACAGGTGATTCACACACACACAGTGTGAGTCACACACACACAGGTGAGTCACACACACACAGTGTGAGTCATACACACAGTGTGAGTCTCACACACAGTGTGTGAGACTCACACAGGTGAGTCACACACACAGATGAGTCACACACACACAGGTGAGTCACACATACACAGTGTGAGTCTCACTCACACACACAGGTGAGTCACACACACACAGTGTGAGTCTCACACACACAGTGTGTGTGAGACTCACACAGGTGAGTCATACACACACACAGTGTGAGTCTCACACACACAGTGTGTGTGAGACTCACACAGGTGAGTCACACACACACAGGTGAGTCACACACAGGTGAGTCACACACAGGTGAGTCACACACAGTGTGAGTCACACACAGTGTGAGTCACACACAGGTGAGTCACACACAGTGTGAGTCACACACAGGTGAGTCACACACAGTGTGAGTCACACACAGGTGAGTCACACACAGTGTGAGTCACACACAGGTGAGTCACACACAGTGTGAGTCACACAGGTGAGGTATGAAACGCAGTTGTGTAACCGGTGTGTATTTGTTGTGTGGCTTACGATACGTGTGTGTACGCGTGTGTACGCGTGTGTACGCGTGTGTGTTGTGTACGCGTGCGTGTTGTGTACGTGTGTACGCGTGTGTGCGCGCGTGGGTTGTGTACGTGTGTGTGTTGTGTATGTGTGTTGTGTACGTGTGTGTGTTGTGTACGTGTGTTGTGTACGTGTATGTGTGTTGTGTACGTGTATGTGTGTTGTGTACATGTGTTGTGTATGTGTGTGTGTGTTGTGTATGTGTGCTGTGTGTTGTGTACGTGTGTGTGTGTTGTGTACGTGTGTGTGTGTTGTGTACGTGTGTGTGTGTGTTGTGTACGTGTGTTTTGTGTACGTGTGTGTGTGTTGTGTACATGTGGTGTGTGTTGTGTACATGTGTTGTGTGTTGTGTACGTGTGTGTGTGTGTGTTGTGTACGCGTGTGTGTGTTGTGTGTGTGTTGTGTATGTGTGTTGTGTACGCGTGTGTGTGTTGTGTATGTGTGTGGAGTTGCAGTGTAGCGGTTAGCGCTACGCCGCGCTACGAACCCGGCGCACCGAGTTCGATCACCACTCACAGCAAAAATCGGCCACGAATAATCTGAGCCGGTCCCGGGCTTCCCCTAGGTCGACTCGGCCTCAAATGAGTAACCTGGTGCAGTGCGTAGTAAACATCGCCACTGGGGGAGACAAAGGCGGCCGGGCGTGATGCTGGCCACCCACCCCCTCGTGTGTGCCGTGCCGGCCTTCATAGGTGCTCGTTAACAGCACTTGCCCCAACATTGTGTTACAGGCTACACGGGGGGATCTTTGTCTTTGTGTGTGCAGGTTCCCTAGTGTCGTCCGTCATCGACATGTCTGCGCCGCTGGTGGGAGCGTCCGGGGGAGTGTACGCTCTGCTGTCCGCACACTTCACCAATGTCGTGCTGGTGAGCTATTAGGACACAACAAGGAAAGTTGGAAAATCTGAGATTTTTCATTTGAAGGCCCCCCCCTCCCCCCCCCCCAAATCTCGATTTTTTTTTAAGGACCCCATCAACATGTTTGTTGTGCGTGGTGTCATTCACAAAACGTTCAAAATGATAAAATAAAAATTGCGTTTCCCCCACCGGACCCCCGTTTGATAGAGCCTTAAACGGCAACTGAAATTAAAGCGAGAGCCATTGTTGTATGTCTTTGATTGTTTTTGAGATATTTCGGATGCAAAAAAGTGAAATGCGTTTCGTGACGTTCAAATCTGAATAATTTTAAAACTGCGAAAGATAGGAGTACTTCTCCTCATAGACTATTAAGTTTATTGACTTTTTGTTCTTTCTAATATTAAAAAAACGAACGGAACCTTCAAATCGAGTGGTTTTCTGATGGGTACGTCTTTAAGTATATTAAAAGTTGAATCAAGTTGTCAAAAATAAAAATTTGTGCAAAAAAAATACAAAATGTTTGGAGGAGTAGTTAGTGTCTGATTTTGGATACGCAATTGTAAAAAAAAAATGTAAAAAAATCACATTGGATTAATTATTACAATTATTGAAAACTTTTGCCACCTTAAGCGTGATCAATCAATTAAGACCCGAAATGGTTGATCAAATCCTTCCAATGATTGCTAAGCCAGAATCCATCTGTATTGTTCTGTTTTGTCGTTGTATTTTATTGTTGTGTTGTGTACGGTTATGTATTGTTGTCGTTGTGTATGGTTATGTATTATTGTCGTTGTGTATGGTTATGTAATGTTGTGTTGTGTATGGTTATGTCTTATTGTCGTTGTGTATGGTTATGTATTGTTGTGTTGTGTATGGTTATGTATTGTTGTGTTGTGTATGGTTATGTATTATTGTCGTTGTGTATGGTTATGTCTTATTGTCGTTGTGTATGGTTATGTATTGTTGTTGTGTTGTGTATGGTTATGTATTGTTGTCGTTGTGTATGGTTATGTATTGTTGTCTTGTGTATGGTTATGTATTGTTGTGCTGTGTATGGTTATGTATTGTCGTTGTGTATGGTTATGTATTATTGTTGTGTTGTGTATGGTTATGTATTGTTGTGTTGTTTATGGTTATGTATTGTTGTGTTGTGTATGGTTATGAATTGTTGTGTTGTGTATGGTTACGTATTATTGTGTTGTGTATGGTTATGTATTATTGTTGTGTATGGTTATGTATTGTTGTGTTGTGTATGGTTATGTATTATTGTCGTTGTGTATGGTTATGTATTATTGTCGTTGTGTATGGTTATGTATTGTTGTGTTGTGTATGGTTATGTTTTATTGTCATTGTGTATGGTTATGTCTTATTGTGTTGTGCATGGTTATGTATTGTTGTGATGTGTATGGTTATGTATTATTGTCGTTGTGTATGGTTATGTATTATTGTGTTGTGTATGGTTATGTCTTATTGTCGTTGTGTATGGTTATGTATTGTTGTGTTGTGTATGGTTATGTATTATTGTGTTGTGTATGGTTATGTATTGTTGTGTTGTGTATGGTTATGTATTATTGTGTTGTGTATGGTTATGTATTGTTGTGTTGTGTATGGTTATGTATTATTGTCGTTGTGTATGGCTATGTATTATTGTGTTGTGTATGGTTATGTATTATTGTGTTGTGTATGGTTATGTCTTATTGTCGTTGTGTATGGTTATGTATTATCGTCGTTGTGTATGGTTATGTATTGTTGTGTTGTGTATGGTTATGTATTATTGTCGTTGTGTATGGTATGTATTGTTGTGTTGTGTATGGTTATGTATTATTGTCGTTGTGTATGGTTATGTATTATTGTGTTGTGTATGGTTATGTATTATTGTCGTTGTGTATGGTTATGTATTGTTGTGTTGTGTATGGTTATGTATTATTGTCGTTGTGTATGGTTATGTATTATTGTCGTTGTGTATGGTTATGTATTGTTGTGTTGTGTATGGTTATGTTTTATTGTCATTGTGTATGGTTATGTCTTATTGTGTTGTGCATGGTTATGTATTGTTGTGATGTGTATGGTTATGTATTATTGTTGTTGTGTATGGTTATGTATTATTGTGTTGTGTATGGTTATGTCTTATTGTCGTTGTGTATGGTTATGTATTGTTGTGTTGTGTATGGTTATGTATTATTGTGTTGTGTATGGTTATGTATTGTTGTGTTGTGTATGGTTATGTATTATTGTCGTTGTGTATGGCTATGTATTGTTGTGTTGTGTATGGTTATGTATTACTGTGTTGTGTATGGTTATGTCTTATTGTCGTTGTGTATGGTTATGTATTATTGTCGTTGTGTATGGTTATGTATTGTTGTGTTGTGTATGGTTATGTATTATTGTCGTTGTGTATGGTTATGTATTATTGTGTTGTGTATGGTTATGTATTATTGTCGTTGTGTATGGTTATGTATTGTTGTGTTGTGTATGGTTATGTATTGTCGTTGTGTATGGTTATGTATTGTTGTGTTGTGTATGGTTATGTATTATTGTGTTGTGTATGGTTATGCATTATTGTGTTGTGTATGGTTATGTATTATTGTGTTGTGTATGGTTATGTATTATTGTTGTGTTGTGTATGGTTATGTATTATTGTCGTTGTGTATGGTTATGTATTGTTGTGTTGTGTATGGTTATGTATTATTGTGTTGTGTATGGTTATGTTTTGTTGTGTTGTGTATGGTTATGTATTGTTGTGTTGTGTATGGTTATGTATTGTTGTGTTGTGTATGGTTATGTCTTATTGTCGTGTTGTGTATGGTTATGTATTGTTGTGTTGTGTATGGTTATGTATTATTGTCGTTGTGTATGGTTATGTCTTATTGTCGTTGTGTATGGTTATGTATTATTGTCGTTGTGTATGGTTATGTATTGTTGTGTTGTGTATGGTTATGTATTATTGTCGTTGTGTATGGTTATGTATTGTTGTGTTGTGTATGGTTATGTATTGTTGTGTTGTGTATGGTTATGTATTGTTGTGTTGTGTATGGTTATGTATTGTCGTTGTGTATGGTTATGTATTGTTGTGTTGTGTATGGTTATGTATTATTGTGTTGTGTATGGTTATGCATTATTGTGTTGTGTATGGTTACGTATTGTTGTGTTGTGTATGGTTATATATTGTTGTGTTGTATATGGTTATGTATTATTGTGTTGTGTATGGTTATGTATTGTCGTTGTGTATGGTTATGTATTGTTGTGTTGTGTATGGTTATGTATTGTTGTGTTGTGTATGGTTATGTATTATTGTCGTTGTGTATGGTTATGTATTGCTGTGTTGTGTATGGTTATGTATTATTGTTGTGTTGTGTATGGTTATGTATTATTGTGTTGTGTATGGTTATGTATTATTGTCGTTGTGTATGGTTATGTATTGTTGTGTTGTGTATGGTTATGTATTGTTGTGTTGTGTATGATTATGCATTGTTGTGTTGTGTATGGTTATGTATTGTTGTGTTGTGTATGGTTATGTATTGTTGTGTTGTGTATGGTTATGTATTGTTGTGTTGTGTATGGTTATGTATTGTTGTGTTGTGTATGGTTATGTATTGTTGTGTTGTGTATGGTTATGTATTGTTGTGTTGTGTATGGTTATGTATTGTTGTGTTGTGTATGGTTATGTATTATTGTCGTTGTGTATGGTCATGTATTGTTGTGTTGTGTATGGTTATGTATTATTGTCGTAGTGTATGGTTATGTATTATTGTGTTGTGTATGGTTATGTATTATTGTCGTAGTGTATGGTTATGTATTGTTGTGTTGTGTATGGTTATGTATTATTGTCGTTGTGTATGGTTATGTATTATTGTAGTCGTGTATGGTTATGTATTGTTGTGTTGTGTATGGTTATGTATTGTTGTGTTGTGTATGGTTATGTATTATTGTTGTGTTGTGTATGGTTATGTATTATTGTCGTTGTGTATGGTTATGTATTATTGTCGTTGTGTATGGTTATGTATTGTTGTGTTGTGTATGGTTATGTATTGTTGTGTTGTGTATGGTTATGTATTATTGTTGTGTTGTGTATGGTTATGTATTATTGTCGTTGTGTATGGTTATGTATTGTTGTGTTGTGTATGGTTATGTATTATTGTGTTGTGTATGGTTATGTATTGTTGTGTTGTGTATGGTTATGTATTATTGTCGTTGTGTATGGTCATGTATTGTTGTGTTGTGTATGGTTATGTATTATTGTCGTAGTGTATGGTTATGTATTATTGTGTTGTGTATGGTTATGTATTATTGTCGTTGTGTATGGTTATGTATTGTTGTGTTGTGTATGGTTATGTATTGTTGTGTTGTGTATGGTTATGTATTGTCGTTGTGTATGGTTATGTATTATTGTCGTTGTGTATGGTTATGTATTGTTGTCGTTGTGTATGGTTATGTATTGTTGTGTTGTGTATGGTTATGTATTGTTGTGTTGTGTATGGTTATGTATTGTTGTGTTGTGTATGGTTATGTATTGTTGTGTTGTGTATGGTTATGTATTATTGTCGTTGTGTATGGTTATGTATTGTTGTGTTGTTTATGGTTATGTATTGTTGTGTTGTGTATGGTTATGTATTGTTGTGTTGTTTATGGTTATGTATTGTTGTGTTGTGTATGGTTATGTATTATTGTCGTTGTGTATGGTTATGTATTGTTGTGTTGTGTATGGTTATGTATTGTTGTGTTGTGTATGGTTATGTATTGTTGTGTTGTGTATGGTTATGTATTGTTGTGTTGTGTATGGTTATGTATTGTTGTGTTGTGTATGGTTATGTATTGTTGTGTTGTTTATGGTTATGTATTGTTGTGTTGTGTATGGTTATGTATTATTGTGTTGTGTATGGTTATGTATTGTTGTCGTCGTGTATGGTTATGTATTATTGTCGTAGTGTATGGTTATGTATTGTTGTGTTGTGTATTGTTATGTATTGTCGTTGTGTATGGTTATGTATTATTGTCGTTGTGTATGGTTATGTATTGTTGTCGTTGTGTATGGTTATGCATTGTTGTGTTGTGTATGGTTATGTATTATTGTCGTAGTGTATGGTTATGTATTGTTGTGTTGTGTATGGTTATGTATTGTTGTGTTGTGTCTGGTTATGTATTATTGTCGTTGTGTATGGTTATGTATTGTTGTGTTGTGTATGGTTATGTATTGTTGTGTTGTGTATGGTTATGTATTGTTGTGTTGTGTATGGTTATGTATTATTGTCGTTGTGTATGGTTATGTATTGTTGTGTTGCGCGTTGGTCGATTGTTGTGTATTGTTTAGTATTGTTGCTGTGTATTGTTGTTGTGTTGTGTGATGTTCCGGATTATTATTGTTATTATTGTTGTGTATTGTTCTTTTTTGTTGTGTATTATTGTTGCTGTGTATTGTTGTGGTGTTGTGTATTGTTCTGTATTATTATTGTCGCTGTGTATTGTTGTGGTGTTGTGTATTGTTCTGTATTATTATTGTTGTTATGTATTGTTGTTGTGTATTGTTCTATTTTTTGTTGTGTATTATTGTTGTTGTGTACTGTTGTTGTGTCGTGTATTGTTGTTGTGTATTATTGTTGCTGTGTATTGTTGCGGTGTTGTGTATTGTTCTGTATTATTATTGTTGTTGTGTACTGTTGTTGTGTTGTGTATTGTTGTTGTGTATTATTGTCGCTGTGTATTGTTGTTGTGTTGTGTAATGTTCCGGATTATTATTATTGTTGCTGTGTATTGTTGTTGTGTTGTGTGTTGTTCTGTATTATTATTGTTGTTGTGTATCGTTGTTGTGTTGTGTATTGTTGTGTAGTATTATTATTGTTGTGTATTGTTCTATTTTTGTTGTGTCTTATTGTTGCTGTGTATTGTTGTTGTGTAATTGTTCTGTATTATTATTATTGTTGTTGTGTATCGTTGTTGTGTTGTGTATTGTTGTGTAGTATTATTGTTGTTGTGTACTGTTGTCAATTGTTGTTTTGCGCATTGGTCTGTATTATTTGTTGTTGTGTATTATTGTTGTTGTGTATTGTTGTGGTGTATATTGTTACGTATTGTTAAGTCTTGTGTATTGTTGTTGTGTATTGTTCTGTTTTTGTTGTGTATTATTGTCGCTGTGTATTATTGTTGTTGTGTTGTGAATTGTTCTGTATTATTGTTGTTGTGTATTGTTGTTATGTATTGTTCTATTTTTTTGTTGTGTATTATTGTCGCTGTGTATTGATTATTGTGTTCTGAATTGTTCTGTATTATTGTTATTGTGTATTGTTGTTGTGTATTGTTCTGTTTTTTTGTTGTGTATTATTGTCGCTGTGTATTGTTGTTGTGTTGTGTATTGTTCTGTATTATTGTTGTTGTGTATTGTTCTGTATTATTGTTGTTGTGTACTGTTGTTGTGTTGTGTATTGTGGTTGTGTTTTCTTGTTGTGTATTGTTGTTGCGCGTCGTTGCCGTTGTGTCGTAGTATTATTATTGTTGTTGTTGTCTCTGCAGCACTGGTCGGATGTTTCCTGCACCGCCAAACCTTTGTTCCTCGCCATTGCCGTGCTGGGCAGTAAGTGGCACAGCGGAAATTCCACATTCATATGGCGGGGGGCGGGGTCCAGCCTGCTGACTTCTCACAAAGCGGTAGCAGGGAGTTTCTCAACATCTGTGCGGTGATCCACCAACCCCCACCACCACTGCCTCCACGGCACTGGACGAGTATCGGTAGCAGCCGCGTGCTGCAGCAGCGTAGCCACCACCACCACCACCGCCACCACCGCCACCACCACCACCACCACTGCCGCCACCACCGCCACCACCACTGCCACCGCCACCACCACTGCCACCGCCACCACCACTGCCACCGCCACTACCACCACTGCCACCACTGCCACCACCGCCACCACTGCCACCACCGCCACCACCACCACTGCCGCCACCACCACTGCCACCGCCACAACCACCACTGCCACCGCCACTACCACCACTGCCACCACTGCCACCACCACCACTGCCACCGCCACCACCACCACTGCCGCCACCACCACTGCCACCGCCACAACCACCACTGCCGCCGCCACCACCACTGCGACCACCACCACTACCACCACCGCCACTACCACCACCGCCACTACCACCACCGCCACCACCACCACCACTGCGGCCACCATCGCCACCATCACTACCACTGCCACCACCACCACCATTGTCGCCACCATCGCTGCTACCACCGCCACCACCACCGTCACCACCGCGGCCACCACCACCCCCACAACCACCCCCACCACCACCATCATCACCGCCACCCCCAGCGCAACCGCCGTGTGCATTCAGGGGGCATTCGTGCGCCACTGCCAGTGCATCATCATCACCACACGCGTGTGTGTGGCGTGTGGTGTGTGGCGTGTGGTGTGTGGTGTGTAGCGTGTGGCGTGTGGCGTGTGGTGTGTGGCGTGTGGTGTGTGGTGTGTGGTGTGTGGCGTGTGGTGTGTGGCGTGTGGTGTGTGGCGTGTGGTGTGTGGTGTGTAGCGTGTGGCGTGTGGCGTGTGGTGTGTGGCGTGTGGTGTGTGGTGTGTGGTGTGTGGCGTGTGGTGTGTGGCGTGTGGTGTGTGGCGTGTGGTGTGTGGCGTGTGGCGTGTGGTGTGTGGTGTGTGGTGTGTGGCGTGTGGTGTGTGGCGTGTGGTGTGTGGTGTGTGGTGTGTGGCGTGTGGTGTGTGGTGTGTGGTGTGTGGTGTGTGGCGTGTGGTGTGTGGCGTGTGGTGTGTGGTGTGTGGCGTGTGGCGTGATATCGTCTCGATCGGTTTGCCCCGCTAACTGCTCACCCCCTGCCCCTCCTCCCCCCAACCCCCCAAAGACAAAGATCCCCCGTGTAGCCTTTACAGACCGTTGGGGCAAGTGCCGTTAGCGAGCAGCACCTATGAAGGCCGGCACGGTACACGAGAGGGTGGGTGGCCAGCACCACGCCCGGCCGCCTTTGTCTCCCCAGTGGCGATGTTTACTACACAACGCCCTAGGTACTCAATTGAGACCGAGTCCACCTAGGGGAGGCCCAGCACACGGTTCAGAGAATCGTCACCGGCGTTGGATGCCGTGAGCGGGGAATTGAACTCTGGGTCGCTGCTAACCGCTACAACACCCCCCCCCCCCCGGCCCCCCACCCCCACCACCCCCCCCCCCCGTCACCGCCCCCCCTCCCCCCCCAGTGAGTGCTGAGGTTGGCCGCGCCGTGTGGTGCCGCTTCTCGGCCGCCGTGCCCCCCCAGCCGGGCTTCGCCGGCCACGTGGCCGGCTCGCTGCTGGGCATCACGCTGGGCGCAGCGGCGCTGGGCGGCGGCGCCCGCCGGTGCCCCCTCCTCCCCTGCCTCCACCGGCGCCGGCACCGGCGCCACCGCAACCCGGACGAGGGCGACGAGGAGGAGGAGGACGACGAGGAGGACGACGAAGCGGAGGACGAGGTGGACGACAACGGAGGAGGAGGTGGCGGCGAGAGCGGCGGCGGCGGCGGCGCCGGCGGCCGCGGCGGGCGCCGCCGGCGCTCCTCCGCCTGCCCGCTCGTCTGGTGGTTGGCGCTGGGACCCGCGCTGGCGTTTGTGGCGTTTGCGGCGCTCTGGAACGTGTTCGCCTACCCCCTGCTGGGGGTCGCGCAGCCCGCTCAGGGTCGCGACCTCCGGGCGTGAACTCCGCTCGTTTACGCCCACCCCCCCACCCCACCCATGACGACCCTGCGCCACCCCACGGCCTCTCCCGGTTAGGAGAGGTCAAGAGGTCAAGAGGTCAAGAGGTCAAGAGGTCAAGAGGTCAAGAGGTCAAATGCCGCTCCGTCGTTCCGCGTGACCTCCCCCCCCCCCCACGTTCGCGGCGAAGCGGTCGCCGTTGCGCGGTTCCGCGGCGCCGCCGATCCGGCTCCGGTCTCCCCGCCCGCCCGGGTGGCACAAAACCAACCAGCAAACGAGTGTCCAGCACCGTCCGGTCGATGTGGCAGGTCACGAGGGCCGCTACCCTCGCCTTCGGCCAGCGCGAAAGGAAGAGCGTGGCCCAAAAATAACCGTCGCCGCCGCCGCCGCCGCCGCTCGTTTGCCCTCCGCCCCCGCGTGCCAACGCGGTTGGCGTTCTGCCCGGCGACCCTTGCCGCCCGGTCCCCCGGGCGGCACACCGCCGGCGTGCCCGCGAGCGTGCGTGCCAACTTGCGCGCGCCGCTGGTGACGCCCCGCTCAACGCGGACGCGAGGGCGAGTTGAGCCGCGAGCGTGAGTGCGTGCACCAGGAGCGCACCAATCACGTGGACGTGAGGGCGGGCGCGCCATTCGGGGCGTACCGTGAGAGACGCTCGCGGAAGGGTTGAAGCGTCATCAGAGCAGAGCACAGGACCGTGAATATATATATTTAAACGCGACAAAGCTGAGCAAATCTGTAAATAGATAAATAATTATACGCATAACTATTTAACATGTGGGCTTTCGCGAATAATGTTATTCATAATATGGGTTTTTTGGGTTAGATCGCATAAGTGTAAATGTTGTGTCGTAACCCGCCACCACCCGACGCAGACGGCAAGGTTTGTCACGTAAACAACGCGTGCCAATTAGTTACAATTAACGACTGCTTCAGCCCGCCAGTGTGTTGGAGAGTAAATTCACGACATTTACAATCACGGCAAATGTGAGCGTGTGTACACAACATGTACAATTGTAAATGTTCTAAATGTTGTGGATTTACAATTGTAAATGTTTTGTTGGAGAGTACATCCACAACATTTACAATTGTAATTTGTAAATGTTGTGGATTTACTCTCCAACACACCGGTGGGCCGAAGTAGTCACTAATTGGCGCGCGTTGTTTACGTGACGAGCCTTACTGACCGTGTCGGGTGGTGGAGGGTTACGACACAACAATTTATACTAACGCGATCTAAACCCAAAAACCTCGATTGTGAATGTATAACTCCTTCCGACAAGGGGTTGGCTTTTGACCATCCCTGGCCATGCGAGCGAGATGGCCGTGGCGGGGGAGCCCGCGACCGCCTCTCGTTGGCGAAGGCTCGCGGTTCTAATCCGGCGGGCCGACCCGGTGAATTCCGCGGCCCTTTTGCTTCACGGCGCGCCGTTAAGGATCCCCGTGACGTCGTTGGATCGATCGGGCGGCGGCGAGAGTCGGGGGGACTCGTCACGTACGCAGGCGGCGTTTGATTTGAAATTAAAGTTTGGGTCCGTTGTTAACCTGGGTTCGTGTGCGTACGTGCGTGCGCGTGTGTCTGTGCGTTGAACTTCTTTCGCGCCGTACGTAGCCAACCGTGCCAATCGGAGGTGTGGGGGAAGCACAACGAGCTATGGGTCTCTGTGTGAGTCTGTGGGTCTCTGTGTGAGTCTATGGGTCTCTGTGTGAGTCTATGGGTCTCTGTGTGAGTTTGTGGATCTCTGTGTGAGTCTGTGGGTCTCTGTGTGAGTCTATGGGTCTCTGTGTGAGTTTGTGGATCTCTGTGTGAGTCTGTGTGTCTCTGTGTGAGTCTATGGGTCTCTGTATGAGTCTATGGGTCTCTCTATGAGCCTGTGGGTCTCTGTGTGAGTCTATGGGTCTCTGTGTGAGTCTATGGGTCTCTGTGTGAGTCTATGGGTCTCTCTATGAGCCTGTGGGTCTCTGTGTGAGTCTGTGGGTCTCTGTGTGAGTCTGTGGGTCTCTGTGTGAGTCTGTGGGTCTCTCTATGACGCTGTGGGTCTCTGTGCGAGTTCACCGTAATGCAACTGCTCACGCTTGGACGTCAGAGACCGCCCGTGGCGTCGTTCGCAAGAGGCCGTCGTGTGCCGGGGTGCTCGTGGGCCCAGCTTGTCCCGTTTCGAAAAAATTCCGCCGCAAATTGCCGTCCAGCGTAGCCTTCCCGCGCGCGGGTTTAGCCGTCGTGGTTATTTTGGGTTTCTCGCGCCAATTGCACCGGGGTACGGAGGTTCGCCGACCACGCCCCTCTAGCTCGGCCATTCGCGGGTGACCACGAGACTGCCGTGCGCGCCGTAGCCGCGCTGCTCGCGACGACGACGCTGCTGCTGCTGCTGCCGCCGCGGGAGAACGCACGCGGCGCCGTTCTCGTCCTCCGTCTCGTCTCCCCCGTGTGACCCACCGCATGTCCCACCCCCCCCGCTCTCCCGTGGTATTCCCGGCCTCGAGTGAGCAGGCGGTGAGGTTCGGTCGCCCGCAAGCTCTCTCTTCCCGCACGTCAAATTTGTTCACCCCCTTCACGTTCAAACGAACTGGTTACATCCAACGCTCGAAAGTATTCCATCACATTCTTCACTCAAAAAAAATTATTCCCATTTAATGCGTTGGCCTGATGTGGGGGGGGGGGGGTTTGGTGTTGCGAAACGGCTGAACCAAACCAAAAACCCCTGCCAAGTTGTCGCGAATATGCCTTCGAGGTTTTTGCCGACCGCGGATTTGCCGATTCCCGGCTACTTCCCCAAGAACGACTCTGTGGCTGTCCTCCTGATGATGCTGGTTGCTGTTGTTGTAAACATCACGGTACTCGAACTGTAAATGTTGCAGTGGGTTTACATTCCAACGCACAGCCGGTGGTGTTGTACTCGTAACGAATTGGCACGTTCTCTTTATATGACACAACATTACCAATTGGCTGTGGACGAGTGGTGGCGGGGTTTAACGACGCACTATATATCCATGCGATCTAACCCAACAGAACCTCTCTTATGGATGATATTGCTTTATGAGACCTCCTTTGCCAGTAGCAAGATATAGTAATAGGTTTTACCCTTTTATCTGGCACCAAAACGGACACCTTTATACAAGGGATCATGTTTGCAAAAATCACAACACAAGCAGTCAAAATGCAAACAAAAATAAACAACTCTGATAATATTCTTGATTCTTTCGGTAAAGTCACGTAGAAGGGAAACAATAAAATAATAAAAATATAAAAAATGATAATATTCTTGGTTCTTTCGGTAAAGTCACATAGAAGGGAAACAATAAAATAATAAAAATATAAAACAATAAAAAAATATATATTATTTTATTGTTTCCCTTCTACGTGACTTTACCGAAAGAACCAAGAATATAAATCCCTGTAGTCACGAAAGCTTTAAATCAAAATTTAACTCTGATAATGATATGCACTGTCCTTGAAATCGACGGGTCCACACCCGAGACGGCTTTCTTTAGAGCCTAGTCTCCACTGGCGTCATCTGGTCCAACACCAGTGGAGACTGGCGTCATCTGGTCCAACACCAGTGGAGACTGGCGTCATCTGGTCCAACACCAGTGGAGACTGGCGTCATCTGGTCCAACACCAGTCTCCACTGGCGTCATCTGGTCCAACACCAGTGGAGACTGGCGTCATCTGGTCCAACACCAGTCTCCACTGGCGTCATCTGGTCCAACACCCGTGGAGACTGGCGTCATCTGGTCCAACACCAGTCTCCACTGGCGTCATCTGGTCCAACACCAGTGGAGACTGGCGTCATCTGGTCCAACACCAGTGGAGACTGGCGTCATCTGGTCCAACACCAGTGGAGACTGGCGTCATCTGGTCCAACACCAGTCTCCACTGGCGTCATCTGGTCCAACACCAGTGGAGACTGGCGTCATCTGGTCCAACACCAGTGGAGACTGGCGTCATCTGGTCCAACACCAGTCTCCACTAGCGTCATCTGGTGTTGGACCAGATGACGCCAGTGGAGACTAGGCTCTAAGGAAAGCTGTCTCGGGTGTGGACCATTCAATTTCAAGCACAGTGCATATCATTATCAGAGTTGTTTCTTTTTGTTTGCATTTTGACTGCTTGTGTTGTGGTTATTGCAAACATTATCCCTTGTATAAAGGTGTTAGTTTTGGTGCCAAATAAAAGGGTAAAAACCTATTACTATGAGTGATATTGGTCGCGAAAGCCCTCCCACTACTGCTACGTGTTTAAACTTCCCCAGAACGTCAACCCAGACCCACAGCGATGGGCAAATCCACGGTTCGTCGCCCTCGTTCGGACATTCTTCTGCTCGAATGGTAAATGTCGTGGGTTTACTCTCCAACGCACCGCCGGTGCTGTACTAGTAACCAATTGGCACGTTCTGTTCACGTGACCTACAGCCTTACTGATTGGCTGTGTGGACGAGTGGTGGCGGGGTTGAACGACGCATAATTCCTTGTAAAAGCTTTCTATTTATTGTTCTAACATCTTAGCACCTCCTGTTTTGTTGCCAGAAAGGGTAACACCGATTCTAATATTACTTCTATATCGAGGGGGCCCCCTCTCTTTGCGCCGATCCTCACCACGTCGTTACTCACTCAAAGACCTCCAACATTTAAGAAAGTTGGGGAGGGGGGGGGCGCGTCCCCCTCCCCCCGGACTCTGTCTTCGACAAAACGCAGCCGGCCACGGCAGCCCCCCAGTACGGTGGCTGTCGACGGGGTGGCTCACGTAGCTTTGGCCACCGGGCGGGTGGGTGGGGGGGGGAGGCCTGGGTGACCCCCCCCCCCACACCGCCGGATACGCTCCTGGCTCTCGCCACGGTTGAACAAAGAACAACTCGGAGAGGCTCTGCGGGGGGTGGAGGGTGTGGCGTCGTTTTTCTCGCGGCGGCCACGCCGCTGTTGCCAAGTCGGGCCGCCGAGAACCCTCGAACGAGTGGTGGACCGGTGTTAGGGGCGGCTAATCGAGGAGGAGGAGGGGGGGTTGGTGACTCTTTTGCGGACGATCGTACTCGGCGGATTGCCGCGGTCGAGCAAGGTGGTGTGTCAGTGTAGTGTAAAGTAACAAAATTAATAATCCCTAACGCTGAATGTAAGAGTATTGCAGTTGTTCATCCACGTGGTGCCTTCGTGCTGCCGCTGCCGCTGCTGCTGCTGCATCGTCGTCGTCGTCAGCCGGGATGTTTACGCGTCGTCGTGATTGCGATGATATTGGCGCTGTAATATGATAAAATCGTACACCCGACAAAATCACCGAGCAGAGATTGGCCCACATTGTATGCAGGGACTCGTCTACTTGCGAACATTCGACTTACGAACCTTCAGAGATACGAACAAACCTGTCTGTGTTTCATGTAGATGCCACGTGAAGAACCTGTGGCATCTACATATGCAGAACGTGAAGAACCAGTGGCATCTACATCTGTAGGACGTGAAGAACCAGTGGCGTCTAGATCTACAGAGCGTGAAGAAGCAGTGGCATCTACATCTGCAAAACGTGACGAACCAGTGGCATCTACATCTGCAGAACGTGAAGAACCAGTGGCATCTACATCTGCAGAACGTGGAGAACCAGCGGCATCTACATCTACAGAACATGAAGAACCAGTGACATCTACATCTGCAGAACATGAAGAATCAGTAGCATCTACATCTGCAGAGCGTGAAGAACCAGTGGCATCTGCACAACGTGAAGAACCACTGGCATCGTCATCTGTGGAACGTGAATAACCAGCGGCATCTACATCTGCTGAAGATTATATAACATTTAAATCCATTCCCCGCGTTCAGCGAGCACGCCCCCACAACGCGTTTGGAATCGACAGGAGGAAAGTTGGCACGTACGAACAAATCGACCCACGAACAGTACCTGCGGAGCCTCACCCGTTCGTAAGTAGAGGAGTCGCCGTAGCAGATATTGCGTCTCGCCAAACGCCACCGTGACGTTGTGGGCGACGCGTCGACACGCCGCGTCAACAGAGGACCCGCGCCCTCTACGCCGCCGGGGATTTGCGAACGTCGAGAGCATTGTGCTGGCACAATCTCGGTGACGCGTAAGGGGGCCGTCCATAAATGACGTCACGCACCTTGGGAGGGAGGGGGGGGTGGGGTCAGACATTTGTGACGATGTGTGACGATGGGGGCGGGGGGCGGGGGCGGGGGGCGGGGGGTGAGAAATGTGACGTCACGTCAAAATTGCGCAACTTTAAATAGATATAGACGGCACGTTCTGCTTCATTAAATAGACTTTTTAATGAATGTGTTCTCCTGCAACACCAGAGTGCAGCGCCACGTTAAATACGCACTGCAATGACAACAATAGTTTAAAGCGATTTGAAGCATGTTTTATATTTTTTTGGGGGGGGGGCGAAGGGGGGTCAAAGCTTTGTGACGTCATATTTGAGGGGGGGAGGGGGGTCTGACTTTTTGTGACGCCGTGCGACGAAGGGTGGGGGGGGAAGGGGGGGTGGTCAAAAATCGTCCAAACTCGCGTGACGTCATTTACGGACGCCCCCCCTAAGTCGGACGTCTCCCCCTTCCCTCCCCGGCGCCCTCGCCCGGCGTTGTTGAGCGGCCATCAACCCCCGGAGCACGTGGTCCCTACCAGTGGCGGCGAGGAGCCGTGGGTGACCCGCAGCGAGGTGTGTTGAGCCGGAGTTGAGTATCGGAGCAATAAGCGCGCGCGTGTGCGCTGCTGAGGTCGTGTGCGGTGCTTGACGCGCGTCCTCAAAACTTAGAGCATTGCCCCTCCTGTGCCGCGAGAACAGAGATAGCCCCTGTAGCCCGCGACAGAGTGTTGGGGCAAGCGCTGTTTAGCGAGTAGCAGCAACTATGAAGTGCGAGACTGCAGCACACGAGGGGGGGCGGGGGGGGGGGGTGGGGGGTGGTGGTGGCCAACACCACGTCTGTCCGCCTTTGTCTCCCTAGTGGCGATGTTTACACACCACACCAGGTGCTCTTGTGTCACACACACACAGACACTTGGATGTGTACACATGCACCACGTATATGTAGATATATATTATAATGATGATGTTGAATAAACGAGCCTATTTTGAGATGACTTTGTCCTTTTTGGCCTTGTTTTTTTCCCCGCAGCTACATACACGTGTAGTGGTTTCCATGGAGACACACACTGTAACTTGGAGGCAACACGTTTATTACAACACCCCGGCAGGGTAACTACATAAACGTGTACGGGATAGCGACATTGGTGGTAGCTAACTTCCACTGGCGGCTAAACCACGACGGGCAACTACATAACGGGGTCAGGTCAGTAACGTACTTGCCTGGCCCACGATGCCGAACGTGACAACTGAAGACCGAAGATTGAGGAGACTTAGCACGGCGAGTTGATTCCAGAAGACAGCCCGGATCGGCGCTCGGGACTTCCCTTTTATGCCCCTGAGCGTGGCCTAGGCCACGCCCCAGGCCACGCCCCCTTCTAGATCCTACCAGGAGGTTCTGGGCCTTCTGTCACGTGTCCCTCTCGCTACCCATTGCCCCCCTCCACTCGCTCCCCTCTCCTGGTCACGTGCCCTCTCGGGTTAGGCCAGACCCGCAATGTCCTGAAGTGCCCTCTCTCTGGCCCTCAGCAGAAGCACGACCCCTAGGGCCCGCTTCTATGCCATGCACATTCTGGTGCCAGAGAGAGATTCGCTCGCATGCACAGCACCGCACGTACTCTTGGCTTCTTTCAGCTAAAGTCACCTATGTAGAGAAAATAACAATAATAAAAAATAATATATCACGACGTTTCGATTGCGATCGAAACGTCGTCGTATTTTATTTTTGGTTTTATTTTATTTGTCTACCCGCTACGTGATGACTTTACCGAAGGAGCCAAAGAGTATGGATGCCTGGAGTCACCAAAGCTTCAAATCAAGATAGCGCCGCCCTTTCTCCAATAGCTGGCGCTCGACATGCGCCAACTACACTTGCAACATGCATGCAACACACATGCTGCATACATGCGGCATACATGCTACATAAATGCATCATACATGCTGCATGCATGTGTAATGAGCGACTTCCCCGTCATTACACACGCAACATACATGCTACATACACGCAACATACATGCTACATGCACGCAACATGCATGTTACATACACGCAACATACATGTTACACAAACCCAGCATACATGCTACATACACGCAACATGCATGTTACATAAACCGAACATACATGATACATACGCGCAACATGCATGTTACATACACCCAGCATGCATGCTACATACACGCAACATGCATGTTACATACACCCAACATGCATGCTACATACACGCAACATGCATGTTACATACACGCAACATACATGTTACACAAACCCAGCATACATGCTACATACACGCAACATGCATGTTACATAAACCGAACATACATGATACATACACGCAACATGCATGTTACATAAACCCATCATACATGCTACATACACGCAACATGCATGTTACATACACCCAACATGCATGCTACATACACTCAACATACATGCAACATACAACATGCATACACCTGGCGTGGGGGTGGGTGGGTGGAGGGGGCCCTCATCCAGCAGTGGAGTGACACGATGACGTCACGACGACAGGCGCATCCCTCTCAGCGTCGGCACATCTCGGATTCGTGAATCGATCTGTGCGGATTTTTTGGGTGTGTTATTTATGGGCAAGCAAAAAACAAACCAAACAAACAAACAAACACATTTTTATATATCGATATTGTCAGGACTGAATTGGAGCTGTCTTTGGGGCGGCGCTCCGGATAATGACCCCCACCACCACTGTGGAGAGAGGGCGCAGTGGGTGTGGGGGGTGGAGGGGGGAGACATCTGGGGTGGGGGAGGGGCGGTTGTAAGAGAAATTACTGCCCAATTATTATAATAAACGGAATCAAAATCATCGTCAGCTTCATCATCAGTAGCTTCATCATCAGCAGCTTCGTTCCCATCATCAGCATCAGATTCATTATCATCATCATCAGCAGCAGCAACTTCATCCCCACCATCAGCATCAGCTTCATCATCATCAACTTCACTCTCATCATCAGATTCATTATCATCATCAGCAGCAGCAGCTTCATCCCCACCATCAGCATCAGCTTCATCATCATCAACTTCACTCTCATCATCATCATCAGATTCATTATCATCATCAGCAGCAGCAGCTTCATCCCCACCATCAGCATCAGCTTCATCATCATCAACTTCACTCTCATCATCATCATCAGATTCATTATCATCATCAGCAGCAGCAGCTTCATCCCCACCATCAGCATCAGCTTCATCATCATCAACTTCACTCTCATCATCATCAGATTCATTATCAGCAGCAGCAGCAGCTTCATCCCCACAATCAGCATCAGCTTCATCATCATCAACTTCACTCTCATCATCATCATCAGATTCATTATCATCATCAGCAGCAGCAGCTTCATCCCCACCATCAGCATCAGCTTCATCAGCTTCATCATCAACTTCACTCTCATCATCATCATCAGCTCCATCATTATCATCAGCTCCATCATTATCATCAGCTTCATCATCATCAGCTTCATTATCAGCAGCAGCAGCTTCATCCCCACCATCATCATCAGCTTCATCATCAGCAGCAGCTTCATCCCCACCATCAGCTTCATCAGCTTCATCATCATCAATTTTACTCTCATCATCATCAGCTTCATCATCATCATCAACTTCACTCCCATCATCATCTTCATCAGCACCTTCATCATCATCAGCTCTATCACCACTATCATCATCAGCTTCATTCCCATCATCATCATCAGCTCCATCACCACTATCATCATCAGCTCCATCACCACTATCATCATCATCATCAACAACTTAATTTCCATTATCACCATCAGCTCCATCATCAACTTCATTCCCATCATCATCAGCTTCATGATCATCATCATCATCAGCTCCATCATCATCATCATCAGCTCCATACCCACCACCATCATCAGCAGCTTCATCATAATTTCGCTTCATTCCCATTATCATCATCATCATCAGCTCCATCATCATCAGCTTCATTACCATCATAATCATCAGCTTCATCATCATTTATCGTTATCATCAGCAGCAGCAGCTCCACCATCATCTCATCCAGCGCGCGCGCTCCGCATTCGTGACGTCACATGCCAGGCAGCACGTCGCTGATGCTGCTGCTACAGCTGTTGTGTACCTAACACAGCATAGCCATCCAGCGTCGCTGATGCTGCTGCTACAGATGTTGTGTACCTAACACAGCATAGCCACCCAGCGTCGCTGATGCTGCTGCTACAGCTGCTGCTACAGCTACTGTGTACCTAACACAGCATAGCCACCCAGCGTCGCTGATGCTGCTGCTACAGCTGCTGCTACAGCTGATGTGATCCTAACACAGCATAGCCACCCGGCGTCGCTGATGCTGCTGCTACAGCTGCTGCCACAGCAGATGCGACTACAGCTGCTGTAGCTCATACTTGCTATTGACGCCGGTGTTATTTCCAGTGATGTAGCTGCCGATTTTCGCTGACGGAGCCGCTATTGCGACTGCCGCTGTAAGCCGCTGCTGTTGCTGATACAATAGCTGCTGCTGCTGCTGCTGCCATAGGCCATGCTTCTGCTGTTGCAGCTGTAGGCTGTTGCAATGGAGACAGCCGTGCAGTCTGCCTTGGACTTTTGCTACCACGGTGCTAGTGATGGTGATGATGGTGGTGATGGTGATGATGGTGGTGATGGGGCTATCATACGTCAGCGCCTGCCCCTCCGACATCACCGGCAGGATGAGGTGAGTGATGGCTTGATGATGATGATGATGGGGGAGGTGGGGGGTGGTTGGTTACATTGTGATGGTGGCGGTGATGATGGGGTGATGTTGATGGTAGGTCACAGGGGTGTGATTTCATTCACGAGATGATGGGGCCTGGTTCAATTCCCGTAGGTGGTCACGGTGGTGGTGTCGATTAATTATCATTCTCATCATCATCATCATTGTGATCGTGATAATCAAGAACATCGTCACCATCATCATGGACATCATCATCATTGTACTCATTACAATTATCGTCATCATCTATCAACATCATTCGTGCACCACTACAAAGCAGACTCGACCCCTTGCTAGGCTTCTGAAATTTGACATGTTCACACGTCTCCATCATCATCATCCATCATCATCCATCATCATCATAATCATCCTCATCATCCATCATCATCCATCATCATCATAATCATCCTCATCATCCATCATCATCATAATCATCCTCATCATCCATCATCATCCATCATCATCATCATCATCCATCATCATCCATCAACACCCATCAACACCCATCATCATCCATTATCATCATCCATCATCATCCATCAACACCCATCAACATCCATCATCATCATCCATCATTACCCATCATCATCATCATCCATCATCATCCATAAACACCCATCAACATCTATCATCATCATCCATCATCATCCATCCTCATCATCCATCATCATCATCATCGCGCGGCGCTTTCAGATGCGCTTCTGCGGCCGTCTGGAACGCTCTTCCCTTCCGATTATAGGAAGCCACTGGGAGCTGTGCACTTTGAAATCATCGTCGTCTAGATTGACAAAGTCATTTATTATCGAACTGTTTTTTTGTGTTTTGTTTGTAGAAAAATGGACTCACATAGAGACCAATAGACTCAGGCAGAGACCCATAGACTCACGCAAACACGCACACAGACTCATACAGAGACCCATAGACTGACACAAAAAACCCATAGACTCACACAGAGACCCATAGACTCACACAGAGACCCATAGACTCACACAGACACCCACAGACTCACACAGAGACCCATAGACTCACACAGAGACCCATAGACTCACACAGACACCCACGCAGACTCAGAGACCCATAGACTCACATAGAGACCCATAGACTCAGGCAGAGACCGATAGACTCACACAGACACCCACACAGACTCACACAGAGACCCATAGACTGACACAGAAACCCATAGACTTACTACAGAGACCCATAGACTCACACAAACACCCACACAGACTCATACAGAGACCCATAGACTGACACAAAAAACCCATAGACTCACACAGAGACCCATAGACTCACACAGAGACCCATAGACTCACGCAGAGACCCATAGACTCACACAGACACCCACAGACTCACACAGAGACCCATAGACTCACACAGAGACCCATAGACTCACACAGACACCCACGCAGACTCAGAGACCCATAGACTCACATAGAGACCCATAGACTCAGGCAGAGACCGATAGACTCACACAGACACCCACACAGACTCACACAGAGACCCATAGACTGACACAGAAACCCATAGACTTACTACAGAGACCCATAGACTCACACAGAGACCCATAGACTCACACAGAGATCCATAGACTCACTACAGAGACCCATAGACTCACACAGAGACCCATAGACTCACACAGAGACCTATAGACTCAGGCAGAGACCCATAGACTCACACAGACACCCACAGACTCACACAGAGACCCATAGACTCACACAGAGACCCATACACTCACACAGAGACCCATAGACTCACTACAGAGACCCATACACTCACACAGAGACCCATAGACTCACACAGAGACCCATAGACTCACACAGAGACCTATAGACTCAGGCAGAGACCCATAGACTCACACAGACACCCACAGACTCACACAGAGACCCATAGACTCACTACAGAGACCCATACACTCACACAGAGACCCATAGACTCACACAGAGACCCATAGACTCACACAGAGATCCATAGACTCACTACAGAGACCCATAGACTCACACAGAGACCCATAGACTCACACAGAGACCTATAGACTCAGGCAGAGACCCATAGACTCACACAGACACCCACAGACTCACACAGAGACCCATAGACTCACACAGAGACCCATAGACTCACACAGAGACCCATAGACTCACTACAGAGACCCATACACTCACACAGAGACCCATAGACTCACACAGAGACCCATAGACTCACACAGAGATCCATAGACTCACTACAGAGACCCATAGACTCACACAGAGACCCATAGACTCACACAGAGGCCTATAGACTCAGGCAGAGACCCATAGACTCACACAGACACCCACAGACTCACACAGAGACCCATAGACTCACACAGAGACCCATAGACTCACACAGACCCCCACACCGACTCAGAGACCCATAGACTCACACAGACACCCATAGACTCACACAGAGACCCATAGACTCACACAGATACCCATAGACTCACACAGAGACCCATAGACTCACTACAGAGACCCATAGACTCACACAGAGACCCATAGACTCACACGGAGACCCATAGACTCACACAGAGACCCATAGACTCACACGGAGACCCATAGACTCACACAGAGACCCATAGACTCACTACAGAGATGCATAGACTCATACAGAGACCCATAGACTCACGCAGAGACCCATAGACTCACACAGAGACCCATAGAGTCACACAGAGACTCATAGATTCATAAAGAGACCCATAGACTCACACAGAGCACCCATAGACTCACACAGAGCACCCATAGACTCGCATAGAGACCCATAGACTCACACAGAGACCCATAGACTCACACAGAGACCCATACATTCGCACAGAGACCCATACACTCGCACAGAGACCCATAAACTCGCACAGAGACCCATAGACTCACACAGAGACCCATAGACTCTCACAGAGACCCACAGTTGTGTTGCCCTTCCCCCGCACCTCCGATTAGCGCGGTTGGCTACGTACGGCGCGAAAGAAGCTCAGCGTACAGTGCACCCTCTTCATCATCCTCGACATCTTGACGTGGTCATTCCTTCTCCTCCCGCTCCCCACCCACCCTCTCTTTTCTCATCATTCTCCGTGCCTCTCTTCATTTTTGTCCGTCTAGGTGGGGGTGGGTGGGGGGGGGAGGTTTACTTCCATCTGTTCCATCCTCTTCCTTGCCCCTTACCTGTCCCATCCACCTTGCACCATCCCTCTCTGCCTTCTGCCCTATTGCGCAACTGACTCCTACTCGCCCACTCCCCCCCCCACCCCCACCCACCTTGCCCCCCCCCTCCCCCCACATCCCCCGGTATCAACTTGGCTACCCCAGGTGGGCACGAGGTCAAATCTCCTGGGGCACGAGGACGCGGAGTGCGACGGCTCCTTCCGGCGATTCTCGCAAGGGGTGCGGACCCTGGAGCACGCCGGTGAGCGAGCACGCGGGGTTGCGAGTTAGGGGGTGGGGGAGGAGGTTGCTCGGTAAATGTTGGCTCAACGTTGAGCCAACGTTGGGACAACGTTGAGAACACGTTGGGACAACGTTGAGCCAACAGTGAATTTTGGCTCAACGTCGACCTGCTATCATAGCGACTGGGCACGTGCTCACCCGGTAAACGTGGAACGTCGTGGGGGGGCCCAAATTTGGGCCAAAGGCTTGACAGCCCAGCCACACGTTGTCTCAACGTTGTCTCAACGTTGGTGCCCCGACGTTCCGCGTTTACCGGGTGAGCGCAGAGGCGAGGAGATGTGCGGACGCAGGGGAGACACGGTGGTGGTGGTGGGGAGATGTTTCGAGGTGGGATCATAGGGGGTTTAACTTTCTGCTGGCTACCTATCGCGGTGTGTGAACTATCCTGGCCGATTGCCTGCTGCTGCATATGAAACTCGGGGGGGGGGGTGTGTCATCGGCCACAGTTCATGCCCTGCCTTCTCCTGTGCGGAATGTGGGGCCCCTGTAAAGGAACGTCTATGCCGGTTCTAAACATTCAGGCTGGCCTGCATTACGGTTCTATCCTGGGGTTTAACCAGAGCTGGTTGGTTACACAGTGAACAGCTCATAGATCCTGAAATGATCTGGACACAGTCCCATCAGTGAGCATCTTCGCCGGTTCTCAACATTCAGGCTGGCCTGCATTACGGTTCTATCCTGGGGTTTAACCAGAGCTGGTTGGTTACACAGTGAACAGCTGATATATCTAATAATAGGGTTTTTCCCCTTTTTTTCTGGCAACAAAACTGAAACCTTTTTACACGAGGATTCATGTTTACTGCATTAACCACAATACCTGCAGTCAAAATGCAAACAAAAAACACAAACTATGATAATATGATGCATTGGCCTTGAAACTGATTGGTCCACACCAAGGGACGGCTTTCTTTTGAGCCTCGACCCAATTGGTGCTCGACCAGATGACGCCAAAAGGCGTACAGCATATAATATCATAGTATGTGTTTTGTTTGCATTTTGACTGCAGGTATTGTGGTTAATGCAGTAAACATGAATCCTCGTAAAAAGATTTAAGTTTTGTTGCCAGAAAAAAGTGGAAAAACCCTATTATTGCATTTTGGTACTGGCAAAGGAGGCCTAATGATGTAGAAGCTCATAGATCATTAAATGATCTGGACACAGTCCCATCAGTGAGCATCTTCGCCGGTTCTAAATATTCAGGCTGGCATGCCTTACGTTTCCATCCTGGCGTTTAACCAGACTAGGTTACAGCGTGTGATCACAGATCCTTGAAGAATCTGGACACAGTCCCATCAGTGAGCATCTTCGCCGGTTCTAAACATTCAGGCTGGCCTGCACTAAAGTCCATCTTGGAGTTTAAGCAGACCTGGTTGCTTACACAGTGAACAGCTCACAGATCCTTGATGCATCCGGACACAGTCCCATCAGTGAGGTCTTCCGGCAGGCGAGGCTGCGTTCGTTGGCTGGGTCACCGCAGCGTGCCCAAGCAGCTGGCACGCTGTTCGTGCACCTAGCCTGGCACACATTCGCCGTGATAACGACCACCGCCATTTCCTCTTGCGGTTAGTGGTGTCGACTGTGATGACAGTGGAGATGTTCTTACGATGATGGCCAAGATGGTCATGTTGTTCTACCACTCTGGACGACGCTGCTGGTGCTGCTGATTGTGCTATTTCTGTTGTGCCTGCTGATGCTGAAGCTGCTTGCTTGCTTGCTGGCGATGATGATGATGACGGTGACGATAAATGTTTGGCCAACTCAGGCTAACATCGAGGCCCGAGAGAATTCGGACAAATGGCGAGCTCACGCCGCGCGTACAGGCAGCGGCCGGTGAAAACAATCGGGCACAAGGTTGCTCCGGGCTTTGACATTTGACTCGAGAACAAGACGACATCAAGTTGAACGTAGACAGCGGGCGGTGGCAGCCGAGGCGGGCAGAGAATAAGGGAGGAATGGCGGCCCCAATGATTCGCGTTGCCACGGAAACGGAGAGGCGGCGGTTGCATGGCAACGCCCTGGGCAGGCTGCCCAACAAAAAAAAATGGAGGCCGCCTTTTGTAAGGCAGGGCAAAAATAATTGAGAATTAAAATGTTAAAAGAGAGGCGCGCTAACCCACGTTCGCCAGCCTGTAGGGTTTAGTTTTTTGTATTCATCCAGTTCTCTCGTTGTTGTTGTTGTTGTTGGATTTGTTTGTTGTGATTATTGTGGTTATTATAGTTGTTTCGTTGTTTTAGTTTTTATTATTGCTGTTTGTTGTTGTCTTTGTTGTTGTGGTTGTTGTTATTTTTGTTGTTTTTATTGTTGCTGTTGTTTGTGTTTTTATTTTTTGTGGTAGTTTCTATTGCCGTTGCTATAGTTTTGATTTAAAGCTTTCGTGACTGCAGTAATTCATACTTTTTTTGTATTATATATACTTTATTATTTTATTGTTTCCCTTCAACGTGACTTTACCGAAAGAACTAAGAGTATGTTGCTATAGTTGTTGTTGTTATTGCTGCTGTTGTCAGTCTGTAACTTCGCACTGCTAAGCAAAGGCCTTTCACATTTTCTTCCTTTCCTGACTGAGTCTATGTGTCTCTGTGTGAGTCTATGTGTCTCTGTGTGAGTCTATGGGTCTCTGTGTGAGTCTATGGGTCTCTGTGTGAGTCTATGGGTCTCTGTGTGAGTCTATGGGTCTCTGTGTGAGTCTATGGGTCTCTGTGTGAGTCTATGGGTCTCTGTGTGAGTCTATGGGTCTCTGTGTGAGTCTATGGGTCTCTGTGTGAGTCTATGGGTCTCTGTGTGAGTCTATGGGTCTCTGTGTGAGTCTATGGGTCTCTGGGTGAGTCTATGGGTCTCTGTGTGAGTCTATGGGTCTCTGTGTGAGTCTATGGGTCTCTGTGTGAGTCTATGGGTCTCTGGGTGAGTCTATGGGTCTCTGTGTGAGTCTATGGGTCTCTGGGTGAGTCTATGGGTCTCTGTGTGAGTCTATGGGTCTCTGTGTGAGTCTATGGGTCTCTGTGTGAGTCTATGGGTCTCTGTATGAGTCTATGGGTCTCTGTAGTGAGTCTATGGGTCTCCGTATGAGTCTATGGGTCTCTGTGTGAGTCTATGGGTCTGTGTGAGAGTCTATGTGTCTCTGTGTGAGTCTATGGGTCTCTGTGTGAGTCTATGGGTCTACCTGTGAGTCTATGGGTCTCTGTGTGAGTCTATGGGTCTCTGGGTGAGTCTATGGGTCTCTGTGTGAGTCTATGGGTCTCTGTGTGAGTCTATGGGTCTCTGTGTGAGTCTATGGGTCTCTGTGTGAGTCTATGGGTCTCTGTGTGAGTCTATGGGTCTCTGTGTGAGTCTATGGGTCTCTGTGTGAGTCTATGGGTCTCTGTATGAGTCTATGGGTCTCTGTAGTGAGTCTATGGGTCTCCGTGTGAGTCTATGGGTCTCTGTGTGAGTCTATGGGTCTGTGTGAGAGTCTATGTGTCTCTGTGTGAGTCTATGGGTCTCTGTGTGAGTCTATGGGTCTACCTGTGAGTCTATGGGTCTCTGTGTGAGTCTATGGGTCTCTGTATGAGTCTATGGGTCTCTGTATGAGTCTATGGGTCTCTGTAGTGAGTCTATGGGTCTCCGTATGAGTCTATGGGTCTCTGTGTGAGTCTATGGGTCTGTGTGAGAGTCTATGTGTCTCTGTGTGAGTCTATGGGTCTCTGTGTGAGTCTATGGGTCTACCTGTGAGTCTATGGGTCTCTGTGTGAGTCTATGGGTCTCTGGGTGAGTCTATGGGTCTCTGTGTGAGTCTATGGGTCTCTGGGTGAGTCTATGGGTCTCTGTGTGAGTCTATGGGTCTCTGTGTGAGTCTATGGGTCTCTGTGTGAGTCTATGGGTCTCTGTATGAGTCTATGGGTCTCTGTAGTGAGTCTATGGGTCTCCGTATGAGTCTATGGGTCTCTGTGTGAGTCTATGGGTCTGTGTGAGAGTCTATGTGTCTCTGTGTGAGTCTATGGGTCTCTGTGTGAGTCTATGGGTCTACCTGTGAGTCTATGGGTCTCTGTGTGAGTCTATGGGTCTCTGGGTGAGTCTATGGGTCTCTGTGTGAGTCTATGGGTCTCTGTGTGAGTCTATGGGTCTCTGTGTGAGTCTATGGGTCTCTGTGTGAGTCTATGGGTCTCTGTGTGAGTCTATGGGTCTCTGTGTGAGTCTATGGGTCTCTGTGTGAGTCTATGGGTCTCTGTATGAGTCTATGGGTCTCTGTAGTGAGTCTATGGGTCTCCGTGTGAGTCTATGGGTCTCTGTGTGAGTCTATGGGTCTGTGTGAGAGTCTATGTGTCTCTGTGTGAGTCTATGGGTCTCTGTGTGAGTCTATGGGTCTACCTGTGAGTCTATGGGTCTCTGTGTGAGTCTATGGGTCTCTGTATGAGTCTATGGGTCTCTGTAATGAGTCTATGGGTCTCCGTGTGAGTCTACGGGTCTCTGAGTCTATGGGTCTCTGTGTGTGTCTTTTGGCCTCTGTGTGAGTCTATGGTGTATGTGTGTCTCTGTGGGTCTCTGTGTGAGTCTGTGGGTCTCTGTGTGAGTCTATGGGTCTACCTGTGAGTCTATGGGTCTCTGTGTGAGTCTATGGGTCTCTGGGTGAGTCTATGGGTCTCTGTGTGAGTCTATGGGTCTCTGTGTGAGTCTATGGGTCTCTGGGTGAGTCTATTGGTCTCTGTGTGAGTCTATGGGTCTCTGTGTGAGTCTATGGGTCTCTGTGTGAGTCTATGGGTCTCTGTGTGAGTCTATGGGTCTCTGTGTGAGTCTATGGGTCTCTGTAGTGAGTCTATGGGTCTCCGTGTGAGTCTATGGGTCTCTGTGTGAGTCTATGGGTCTGTGTGAGAGTCTATGTGTCTCTGTGTGAGTCTATGGGTCTCTGTGTGAGTCTATGGGTCTACCTGTGAGTCTATGGGTCTCTGTGTGAGTCTATGGGTCTCTGTATGAGTCTATGGGTCTCTGTAATGAGTCTATGGGTCTCCGTGTGAGTCTACGGGTCTCTGAGTCTATGGGTCTCTGTGTGTGTCTTTTGGCCTCTGTGTGAGTCTATGGTGTATGTGTGTCTCTGTGGGTCTCTGTGTGAGTCTGTGGGTCTCTGTGTGAGTCTATGGGTCTACCTGTGAGTCTATGGGTCTCTGTGTGAGTCTATGGGTCTCTGGGTGAGTCTATGGGTCTCTGTGTGAGTCTATGGGTCTCTGTGTGAGTCTATGGGTCTCTGGGTGAGTCTATGGGTCTCTGTGTGAGTCTATGGGTCTCTGTGTGAGTCTATGGGTCTCTGTGTGAGTCTATGGGTCTCTGTGTGAGTCTATGGGTCTCTGTATGAGTCTATGGGTCTCTGTAGTGAGTCTATGGGTCTCCGTGTGAGTCTATGGGTCTCTGTGTGAGTCTATGGGTCTGTGTGAGAGTCTATGTGTCTCTGTGTGAGTCTATGGGTCTCTGTGTGAGTCTATGGGTCTATCTGTGAGTCTATGGGTCTCTGTGTGAGTCTATGGGTCTCTGTATGAGTCTATGGGTCTCTGTAATGAGTCTATGGGTCTCCGTGTGAGTCTACGGGTCTCTGAGTCTATGGGTCTCTGTGTGTGTCTTTTGGCCTCTGTGTGAGTCTATGGTGTATGTGTGTCTCTGTGGGTCTCTGTGTGAGTCTGTGGGTCTCTGTGTGAGTTTGTGGGTCTCTGTGTGAGTCTATGGGTCTACCTGTGAGTCTATGGGTCTCTGTGTGAGTCTATGGGTCTCTGTGTGAGTCTATGGGTCTCTGTGTGAGTCTATGGGTCTACCTGTGAGTCTATGGGTCTCTGTGTGAGTCTATGGGTCTCTGTATGAGTCTATGGGTCTCTGTGTGAGTCTATGGGTCTCTGTGTGAGTCTATGGGTCTCTGTGTGAGTCTATGGGTCTCTGTGTGAGTCTATGGGTCTCTGTGTGAGTCTATGGGTCTCTGTATGAGTCTATGGGTTTCTGTAGTGAGTCTATGGGTCTCCGTGTGAGTCTACGGGTCTCTGAGTCTATGGGTCTCTGTGTGTGTCTATTGGTCTCTGTGTGAGTCTATGGTGTATGTGTGTCTCTGTGGGTCTCTGTGTGAGTCTGTGGGTCTCTGTGTGAGTTTGTGGGTCTCTGTGTGAGTCTATGGGTCTCTGTGTGAGTCTATGGGTCTCTGTGTGAATCTATGGGTCTCTGTGTGAGTCTATGGGTCTCTGTGTGAGTCTATGTGTCTCTGTGTGAGTCTATGGGTCTCTGTGTGAGTCTATGGGTCTCTGTGTGAGTCTATGGGTCTCTGTGTGACTCTATGGGTCTCTGTGTGAGCCTATGGGTCTCTGTGTGAGTCTATGGGTCTCTGTGTGAGTCTATGAGTCTCTGTGTGTGTCTATGGGTCTCTGTGTGAGTCTATGTGTCTCTATAGTGAGTCTATGGGTCTATGTGTGAGTCTGTGTCTCTGTGTGAGTCTATGGTGTATGTGTGTCTCTGTGGGTCTCTGTGTGAGTCTATGGGTCTCTGTGTGAGTCTATGTGTCTCTATAGTGAGTCTATGGGTCTATGTGTGAGTCTGTGTCTCTGTGTAAGTTTATAGGTCTGTGTGTGAGTCTATGGGTCTCTGTGTGAGTCTATGGGTCTCTGTGTGAGTCTATGGGTCTCTGTAGTGACACTATGGGTCTCTGTAGTGAGACTATGGGTCTCTTTGTGAGTCTATGTGTCTCTGTGAGTCTATGGGTCTCTGTGTTAGTCTATGTGTCTCTGTGTGAGTATATGGGTCTCTGTGTGAGCCTATGGGTCTCTGTGTGAGCCTATGGGTCTCTATGTGAGTCAGTGGGTCTCTGTGTGAGTCTATGGTGTATGTGTGTCTCTGTGAGTCTCTGTGTGAGTCTATGGGTGTCTGTGTGCATCTATGGGTCTCTGTGTGAGTCTATGGGTCTCATTGCGAGTCTATGGATCTGTGTATGGTGAGTCTGTGGGTCTCTATATGAGTCAGTGGGAGTCAATTGGTCTACGTGTGAGACTATAGGTTTTTCTGTGCGTCTGTAGGTCTCTGTTGAAGTCTATGAGTGTCTATGTGAGTCATTGGATCAATGTGTGATTCTATGGGTCTCTGTGTGAGTCTATGGGTCTCTGTGTGAGTCTATGGTGTTTTGTGTGAGTCTATGCGTCTCTTTGTGGTAGTGGTTGTGATGAGTGTGGTGGTGGTGGTGGTGGTGATGATGGTGGTTGTGGTGGTGGTGGTGGTTGTGGTGGTGGTGATGATGGTGGTTGTGGTGGTGGTTGTGGTGGTGGTGGTGGTGGTTGTGGTGATGATGGTGGTTGTGGTGGTGGTGGTGGTGGTTGTGGTGGTGGTGATGATGGTGGTTGTGGTGGTGGTGGTGGTTGTGGTGGTGGTGGTGGTAGTGGTGGTAGTGGTTGTGGTGGTGGTGGTGGTGGTGGTTGTGGTGGTGGTGGTGGTTGTGGTGGTGGTTGTGGTGGTGGTGGTTGTGGTGGTGGTGATGACAGTCGTCGTGGTGCTGCTTGTGGTGGTGCGGGGAGTGTTGGCGTAGCGGTGAGCGCGTGTCCTCAACGAACCTCGGCGACCCGGGTTCGATTCCCGCTCACGGCTCAACACCGGTGACGATTATCTGAACCGGTTCCGGGCCTCCCTTAGGTCGACTCAGCCTCAAATGAGTGCCTGGTGCGGTGTCTAAACATCTGGGGAGAAATAAATGCGGCCGGGCGTGGTGTTTGCCGTGACGGCCTCCATAAGTGCTGCTCGCGAACAGCACTTGCCCCAACAGTCCGCTAACGGCCTATGCGGTTGGGGGGGGTCTTTGATCGCAGCAAAGGTGGTGGTGGTGTGGTGGTGGTGGTGGCGGTGGTGATGGTGGTGACTTTGGTTTCTTGTTGTGGCTTCCGTGCAGCTTGGGAGAGCGAAGGTCGACCACTGGAGCCCCAGTTCATGGACCCGGTAATCCAACTCGTCCCGTGCCCCCAGCAGAGTGGAGAGGTAATCGCACACACCGATGGCGATGACGACACAGACGATGACCACGCTGCTGATGGTGATGATGATTATAATGATTATGATTGTGGTGTTGGTGTTGCTGGTTCCACTGTTGCTGCTGCTGTTGTTGTTGTTGCAGAGGAGATTAGCGCTCGTGTGGTGAGTCCGGAGGCTCGGTTTTAAGAGCAATTCAAGAGATCGTCACGGTTTTGATTTTGACGAGTCACGGAGGACTGCTCTTATCCGTTCACCGATTCCGACTTTCAGCAGGAGCAGTAGCGTCCGTGAAAACTACGATCCGCCACCCCGTATCTCGCCGTTATCCACGACATTACCGCCGAACGGCTGCTGCCGCTGTTGATTCTGCTGATGCTGCTGATGTCTCTGATAGCAGCATTGCTGCTGATGCTGCTGATGCTGCTGCTGGTGCTGTTAACAATCTCTGTTACCGATGCTACTGCTGCAGTTGCTGCTGATGATGCTGCTGATGTCTCAGTACCGATGCTGCTGATGCTGCTGCTGTTTACAAGTCCTGTGTTGTTGCTGCTGCTGCTGCTGCTACTGAGAATGTTGCTGTTCATTGCCTTGGCGCAGACGGAGGAGAGACGCCCATCTTCAGACGCGTCCTTGCCCAGATCTCCTCCTCCTCCTCCGTCTCGCGAGCTCGCCGAGCACGACGGCGGCCCGGCCACCTTCTACGACTCGTCATCATCACCCCAGCACCACCACGGCCACCACGGCCACCTCCACCACCACCTCCACCACCTCCACCACCACCTCCACCACCACCACCACCACCCCCACCACCGTCAGCACCAGCACCTGCTGGACAGCTCCGCTCTGACCCTTAACCAAGAGGCCCCCAATATCCGACACGTCGTCGACACGGACGACGACGACGACGAGGAGGAGGATGACGTTGATGACGATGTTGATGATGGCGTGGAGGAGGATGCGGATGTGGCTGTGGGGGCGGGGGTGCTCGCGGTGGGAGGGCTGCGGGGCCCGGGGCCCGGGGCGAGGGGTCCCGGCTCGGACAGCACGTCGGGCATCGGCAGTGAGGATCGTGAAAGCAGCTGCAGCAGTCCTAGGGGGTGCTGGAAGGGGTGAGGTCTTGTCAGCATCAGCTTCATCCTATTGTTGGCATCATCATCATCATCATCCTATCAGCATCCTATCATAATCATTAGCAGCATCCTATCATTGTCATTCTATCATCAGCAGCATCATCATCATCATCATCATCCTATCATCATCTTTATTTAATCATTATCATCATCATCCAAGCAGCAGCAGCATCATATCATCATCAGCATCATATCATTATCTTCATCCTATGATCATCCTATGATCATCCTATCATCATCAGCATCCTATCATCATCTTAATCATATCATCATCCTATCAGAAACCTATCATAATCAGCAGCATCATCCTATCATCAGAATCCTATCATCAGCATCATATCATCATCCTATGATCATCCTATCATCATCAGCATCATCCTATCATCATCCTATGATCATCCTATCATCATCAGCATCATCCTATCGTCATCATCATGTCATCATCATCCTATCATGATCAGAATCCTACCATCAGCAGCAGCAGCAGCGACCCTTAACATTTAGTTTCCTCAGCATATTGCCTTTCACAAGCGTAGAATAGTCTATGGGTCCAGTGTTAGTCTATGGGTTCAGTGATAGTCTATGGGTCCAGTGTTAGTTTATGGGTCCAGTGTGAGTCTATGGGTCCAGTGTTAGACTATGGGTACAGTGTGAGTCTATGGGTCCAGTGTGAGTCTATGGGTCCAGTGTTAGTCTATGGGTCCAGTGTTAGTCTATGGGTTCAGTGATAGTCTATTGGTCCAGTGTTAGTCTATGGGGCCAGTGTTAGTCTATGGGTCCAGTGTTAGTCTATGGGTTCAGTGTGAGTCTATGGGTCCAGTGTTAGTCTATGGGTCCAGTGTTAGTCTATGGGTGTAGTGTTAGTCTATGGGTCCAGTGTTAGTCTATGGGTCCAGTGTTAGTCTATGGGTCCAGTGTTAGTCTATGGGTCCAGTGTTAGTCTATGGGTCCAGTGTTAGTCTATGGGTCCAGTGTTAATCTATGGGTCCAGTGTTAGTCTATGGGCCCAGTAGTAGTCTATGGGTCTAGTGTTAGTCTATGGGTTCGTGTGAGTCTATGGGTCAGTGTGAGTCTATGGGTCCAGTGTTAGTCTATGGGTCCAGTGTTAGTGTATGGGTCCAGTGTTAGTCTATATGTCTAGTGTTAGTCTATATGTCTAGTGTCAGTCTATGGGTCCAGTGTTAGTCTATGGGTCCTGTGTTAGTCTGTGGGTCCAGTGTTAGTCTATGGGTCCAGTGTTAGTCTATGGGTCCAGTGTTAGTCTATATGTCTAGTGTCAGTCTATGGGTCCAGTGTGAGTCTATGGGTCCAGTGTTAGTCTATGGGTCCAGTGTTAGTCTATGGGTTCAATGTTAGTCTATGGGTCCAGTGTGAGTCTATGGGTCCAGTGTTAGTCTATGGGTCCAGTGATAGTCTATGGGTCCAGTGTTAGTCTATGGGTCCGGTGTAAGTCTATGGGTCCAGTGTTAGTCTATGGGTCCAGTGGTAGTCTATGGGTCCAGTGTGAGTCTATGGGTCCAGTGATAGTCTATGGGTCCAGTGGTAGTCTATGGGTCCAGTGTTAGTCTATGGGTCCAGTGTTAGTCTATGGGTCTAGTGATAGTCTATGGGCACAATACCCATCCACACCGCTCCCTCGTGCACAGCACTTATCCCGACAGGCTGTGCCCAAGTCGTCTTTGTCCGTGGCCGTGCCGCAGGGCCGCTGCAGCGGTGTGCGTGGGCGAGGAGCTGTTCGAGGCCTACGGGGACGACGCGAGTCTGGGGCCGCCGGGAGGAGGCGCCCTGCGCAGTGAGCCCCGTAGCGGGGAGCACACCTCCTCCCTGCCGGCCAGGTGAGGCAGTCGGCGGGGTGGGTGAGTGGGGTGGTGAGTGGGTGGGTGAGTGGGGTGATGAGTGAGTGGGTGAGTGGGGTGGTGAGTGGGTGGGTGAGTGGGGTGATGAGTGGGTGGGTGAGTGGGGTGGTGAGTGGGTGGGTGAGTGGGGTGATGAGTGGGTGGGTGAGTGGGGTGGTGAGTGGGTGGGTGAGTGGGGTGATGAGTGAGTGGGTGAGTGGGGTAGTGAGTGGGGTGATGAGTGGGTGGGTGAGTGGGGTGGTGAGTGGGTGGGTGAGTGGGGTGATGAGTGAGTGGGTGGGTGGGGTGATGAGTGGGTGGGTGAGTGGGGTGGTGAGTGGGTGGGTGAGTGGGGTGTTGAGTGGGTGGGTGAGTGGGTTGGTGAGTGGGTGGGTGAGTGGGGTGATGAGTGAGTGGGTGAGTGGGGTAGTGAGTGGGGTGGTGAGTGGGTGGGTGAGTGGGGTGATGAGTGGGTGGGTGAGTGGGGTGGTGAGTGGGTGGGTGAGTGGGGTGATGAGTGGGTGGGTGAGTGGGGTGGTGAGTGGGTGGGTGAGTGGGGTGATGAGTGGCGTGGTGAGTGGGTGGGTGAGTGGGGTGATGAGTGAGTGGATGAGTGGGGTGGTGAGTGGGTGGGTGAGTGGGGTGATGAGTGGGTGGGTGAGTGGGGTAGTGAGTGGGTGGGTGAGTGGGGTGAGTGAGTGAGTGGGTGAGTGGGGTGAGTGAGTGAGTGAGTGGGTGAGTGAGTGAGTGGGGTGAGTGAGTGAGTGAGTGGGTGAGTGGGGTGAGTGAGTGAGTGAGTGGGTGAGTGAATGAGTGAGTGGGGTGAGTGAGTGAGTGAGTGGGGTGAGTGAGTGAGTGGGTGAGTGAGTGAGTGAGTGGGTGAGTGGGGTGAGTGAGTGAGTGAGTGGGTGAGTGGAACGGCAGGTGAGCCCCGTAGCGGGGAGCACACCTCCTCCCTGCCGGCCAGGTGAGTGAGCCGGCAGGGTGATTGAGTGGGTGAGTTGGTGAGTGAGTGAATGGGCAGGTGAGTGGGTGAGTGAGTGAGTGGGCAGGTGGGTGAGTGGGTGAGTGAGTGGGCAGGTGAGTGGGTGGGTGAGTGAGTGGGCAGGTGGGTGAGTGAGTGAGTGAGTGGCAGGTGAGCGGGTGAGTGAGTGAGTGGGCAGGTGAGTGGGTGAGTGATTTGACGTCCCTCCCCCCCCAACAACAGCCCCGTGACGTCGCCGCGACGTTGGCTGAGCCTGTTCCCCCACGCTGCGGGGCTGGCCGTCTACTGCAGCCGCTGCAGCAGGAGCCGTGACACGCTGCACCAGCTGGAGGCACGCTTGCACCACCTGCAACAGGCCAGGTGTGTGTGTGTGTTGAACTTCTTTCGCACCGTACGTAGTCTATAGGTCTCTGTAGTGAGTCTGTGGGTCTCTGTGTGAGTCTGTGGGTCTCTCTGTGAGCCTGTGGGTCTCTGTGCGAGTCTATGGGTCTCTGTGTGAGTCTATGGGTCCCTGTGTGAGTCTATGGGTCTCTGTGTGAGTCTACGGGTCTCCGTGTGAGTCTATGGGTCTCTGTGTGAGTCTATGGGTCTCTGTGTGAGGTTGTGGGTCTCTGTGTGAGTCTGTGGGTCTCTCTGTGAGCCTGTGGGTCTCTGTGCGAGTCTATGGGCCTCTGTGTGAGTCTATGGGTCTCCGTGTGAGTCTATGGGTCTCTGTACTGAGTCTGTGGGTCTCCGTGTGAGTCTATGGGTCTCTGTAGTGAGTCTGTGGGTCTCCGTGTGAGTCTATGGGTCTCTGTAATGAGTCTATGGGTCTCTGTGTGAGTCTATGGGTCTCTGTAGTGAGTCTATAGGTCTCTGTGTGAGTCTATGGGTCTCTGTGTGAGTCTATGGGTCTCTGTAGTGGGTCTATGGGTCTCTGTGTGAGTCTATGGGTCTCTGTGTGAGTCTATTAGTCTCTATGTGAGTCTGTGGGTCTCTCTGTGAGTCTACGAGTCTCCGTGTGAGTCTATTGGTCTCTGTAGTGAGTCTGTGGGTCTCCGTGTGAGTCTATGGGTCTCTGTAATGAGTCTATGGGTCTTTGTGTGAGTCTATGGGACTCTGTGTGAGTCTATGGGTCTCTGTAGTGAGTATATAGGTCTCTGTGTGAGTCTATGGGTCTCTGTGTGAGTCTATGGGTCTATGTAGTGGGTCTATGTGTCTCTGTAGTGAGTCTATGGGTCTCTGTAGTGAGTCTATAGGTCTCTGTAGTGAGTCTATAGGTATCTGCGCGAGTATATGGGTTTCTGTGTTAGTCTATAGGTATCTGTGTGAGTCTATGGGTCTCTGTGTGAGTCTATGGGTCTCTCTGTGAATCTATGCGTCTCTGTGTGAGTCTATGAGTCTCTGCGTGAGTCTATGGGTGTCTGTGTGAATCTATAGCTCTCTATGTGAGTCTATGAGTCTCTGCGTGAGTCTATGGGTCTCTGTGTGAGTCTATGGGTCTCTGTGTGAGTCTATGGGTCTCTGTGTGAGTCTATGAGTCTCTGCGTGAGTCTATGGGTCTCTGTGTGAGTCTATGGGTCTCTATGTGAGTCTATGGGTCTCTGTGTGAGTCTATGGGTCTCTGTGTGAGTCTATGGGTCTATGCGTGAGTCTATGGGTCTCTGTGTGAGTCTATCGTCTCTGTGTGAGTCTATGTATGTTCAAACTAAACACAACAAAAAGCAGCTCTAAAGATGACGATGATTTAAAAGTCCACAGCTCCCAGTGGCTTACTAATATCGGAAGGGAAGAGCGTTCCAGACGGCCGCAGAAGCGCATCTGAAAGCGCCGCGCGATGATGATGCGGTGTCCTCCACCGTCTTTGTTCGACGCTTACCCACAAGTCGCTGTGAGGATCACGTGTTGTTGTTGTTGTTGTGTTGTTCTGTTGTTGTTGTTGTGTTGTTGGTTTTCTCGTTTCTCTCCCTCACACTCTCCGTGTAGCCCCAGCAAACGTGTCTCCAGCAGTACTGCAGTGGCGCGGTGAGACCCGGGGAACACTCACCAACACACTCACCAACACACTCACCAACACACTCACCAAGACACTCACCAAGACACTCACCAACACACTCACCAACACACTCACCAACACACTCACCAAGACACTCACCAACACACTCACCAACACACTCACCAACACACTCACCAACACTCACCAAGACACTCACCAACACACTCACCAGCACACTCACCAACACACTCGCCAACACACTCACCAACACACTCACCAACACACTCACCAACACACTCACCAAGACACTCACCAACACACTCACCAACACACTCACCAACACACTCACCAACACACTCACCAAGACACTCACCAACACACTCACCAACACACTCACCAACACACTCACCAACACTCACCAAGACACTCACCAACACACTCACCAGCACACTCACCAACACACTCGCCAACACACTCACCAACACACTCACCAACACACTCACCAACACACTCACCAAGACACTCACCAAGACACTCACCAACACACTCACCAACACACTCACCAACACACTCACCAAGACACTCACCAACACACTCACCAACACACTCACCAACACACTCACCAACACTCACCAAGACACTCACCAACACACTCACCAACACACTCACCAACACACTCACCAACACACTCACCAAGACACTCACCAACACACTCACCAACACACTCACCAACACACTCACCAAGACACTCACCAACACACTCACCAACACACTCACCAACACACTCACCAACACACTCACCAACACTCACCAAGACACTCACCAACACACTCACCAACACACTCACCAACACACTCACCAACACACTCACCAAGACACTCACCAACATACTCACCAACACACTCACCAACACACTCACCAACACACTCACCAAGACACTCACCAACACACTCATCAACACACTCGCCAACACACTCACCAACACACTCACCAACACACTCACCAACACACTCACCAAGACACTCACCAAGACACTCACCAACACACTCACCAACACACTCACCAACACACTCACCAACACACTCACCAAGACACTCACCAACACACTCACCAACACACTCACCAACACACTCACCAACACACTCACCAACACACTCACCAACACACTCACTAACACACTCACCAAGACACTCACCAACACACTCACCAACACACTCACCAACACACTCACCAACACACTCACCAGCACACTCACCAGCACACTCACCAACACACTCACCCACACCCTCACCAGCACACTCACCAACACACTCACCAGCACACTCACCAACACACTCACCAACACACTCACCAAGACACTCACCAACACACTCACCAACACACTCACCAACACACTCACCAGCACACTCACCAACGCCCTCACCAGCACACTCACCAACACTATGGGTATTTGTGGGTTACGTGTGTGTGCTCTGCGTGTTGACTGCGTGCAGACAGCTGCTGAGCTGTAGCGTGGTGAGCAGTACCTCGGACAGCACCGAGGACCTCTACCTGGCAGACCCCATCGACTTACCTGAGATCGGATTCGGAGAGAAGGTGGTGATGATGATGATGGCGGTGGTGTAGATGATGATGATGATGGGGTAATGATGGTGCTGGTGGTGGTGGTAATCCTGATGATTGGTGTGGGGAGGGTTGGTGCAGCGGTTGGCGCTATGCTGCGCTCCAAACCCAGCAGCCAGAGTTCGATTCCCACTCAAGGCCAACACCAGTGACGATTATCTGAACCGATTTTGGGCCTCTTCTAGGTCGACTCAGCCTCAAATTAATACCCGGTGTCGTGCGTAAACATCGCCTCCAGGGAGACAAAGGCGGCCGGGCGTGGTGTTGGCCACCCACCCCCGTCGTGTGCCGTGCCGGCCTTCATTGGTGCTGCTCGCTAACAGCACTTGCCCCTACAGTCTGTTAAGGCTACACGGGCGGTAGCAGTAGTGATGGTGATGGTAGTGATGATGATTATGGTGGTGATGATGATGATGATCCTGTTGGTGATGGTGGTGATAGTAGTGATGATGATTATGGTGGTGATGATGATGATCCTGTTGGTGATGGTGGTTATGGTGGTGATGGTGATAGTAGTAATGATGATGGTGGTGATGTTGATGATGATGATACTGTTGGTGATGGTGGTGTGGGTTGATGGGGGCGGTGGTGATGGTGATAGCAGTGATGATGATGGTGGTGGTGGTGATGATGATGATGATACTGTTGGTGATGGTGGTGATGGTGATAGTAACAATGATGATGGTGGTGATGTTGATGATGATGATAATGATACTGTTGGTGATGGTGGTGTGGGTTGATGGTGGCGGTGGTGATAGCAGTGATGATGATGGTGGTGGTGGTGGTAATGTTGATGATGATGATGATCCTGTTGGTGATGGTGGTGTGGGTTGATGGTGGTGATGGTGATAGCAGTGATGATGGTGGTGGTGGTGATGATGATATTGGTGATGGTGGTGTGGGTTGATGGTGGTGATGGTGATAGCAGTGATGACGGTGGTGGTGGTGATGATGATGCTATTGTTGATGGTGGTGATGGTGATAGCAGTTATGATGGTGATGCTGGTGATGATGATGATGATGCTATTGGTGATGGTGGTGTGGGTTGATGGTGATGCTGGTGATGATGATGATGCTGGTGATGATGATGATGCTATTGCTGATGGTGGTGTGGGTTGATGGTGGTGATGGTGATAGCAGTGATGATGGTGATGCTGGTGATGATGATGATGCTATTGCTGATGGTGGTGTGGGTTGATGGTGGTGATGGTGATAGCAGTGATGATGGTGGTGGTGGTGATGATGATGATATTGGTGATGGTGGTGTGGGTTGATGGTGGTGATGGTGATAGCAGTGATGATGGTGATGCTGGTGATGATGATGATGCTATTGCTGATGGTGGTGTGGGTTGATGGTGGTGATGGTGATAGCAGTGATGATGGTGATGCTGTTGATGATGATGCTATTGCTGATGGTGGTGTGGGGAGCAGTACCTTAGTGGCTCGTAGCGCATTAAGAGCAGTGAACGTCTGAACCGGCCCTGGCCCTTCCCTAGGTCAACTCAGCCTTAAATGGAGCACTCATTTTTTGTCGAGCATATCAGCGGAATCAAAATCGGCATCTCCTTTCACGCTTGCAGGAACCCCGATTAGAAACACAGTTGAGCTCGTTGTTTCGTGCCGACGACATCCGTGAACAGCGCCGGGGAGAGACAAAGACGGCCGGGCGTGGTGCTGCCCTTACCCCCCCCCCCCCCCTTCCCGCCTCCGCCAGCAGAGAGCGGAGCGTGTTGGCTACCGGGGGGTGGTTGGTGGTGGTGGGGATCATTGTTTCCTGTCTTCGCAACGTCGCTGCAGGTGAGCTTGCTGGAGAAGAAGGTGCTTGTGCTGGAGCTGGAGACGGTGGCTCACGGTGACCAGCAGACGCGGCTCAAGCAGCACAACCTGCAGCTGGTGCACAGGCGAGTCGCGACAGCCGGGGCAGCGGCACGAGCCGCAGTCGCTGGTGCTGCTGATGATGCTGGTGATGGAAGTGATGCTGCTGATGATGATGATGTTGATGATGTTGATGTTGCTAATGGTGATGGTGATGATGCTGATGATCGAAATGATGCTGCTGATGATGATGATGTTGATGATGATGTTGCTAATGGTGATGGTGATGATGGTGCTGTCGGGGCTGGTGATGATAATAATGAAGATGATTATGGTGCTGGTGATGAAGGTGATAGTGCTGGTGATGATGCTGCTGCTGATGATGATGATGTTGCTAATGGTGATGGTGATGATGATGCTGTCGGGGCTGGTGATGATGATGAAGATGATTATGGTGCTGGTGATGAAGGTGTTGGTGCTGCTGGTGATGATGCTGCTGATGATGATGATGTTGATGTTGCTAATGGTGATGGTGATGCTGTCGGGGTTGGTGATGATGATGAAGATGATTATGGTGCTGGTGATGAAGGTGATGGTGCTGCTGGTGATGATGCTGCTGATGATGATGTTGATGTTGCTAATAGTGATGGTGATGATGATGCTGTCGGGGCTGGTGATGATGATGAAGATGATTATGGTGCTGGTGATGAAGGTGTTGGTGCTGCTGGTGATGATGCTGCTGATGATGATGTTGCTAATGGTGATGGTGATGATGATGCTGTCGGGGCTGGTGGTGAAGGTGATGGTGCTGCTGCTGATGGTTCTGCTGATGATGATGATGCTGATGATGGCACCGCTGATGATGATGCCACCGCTGCTGCCACTGATGATGCTGTGGCTGGTCACTGATGCTGATGATGATGATGTTGCTAATGGTGATGATGATGATGATGCTGTCGGGGCTGGTGATGATGATGATGATGATTATGGTGCTGGTGATGAAGGTGATGGTGCTGCTGGTGATGATGCTGCTGATGATGATGATGTTGCTAATGGTAATGATGATGATGATGCTGTCGGGGCTGGTGATGATGATAAAGATGATTATGGTGCTGCTGGTGATGATGCTGCTGATGATGATGATGATGTTGATGTTGCTAATGGTGATGATGATGCTGTCGGGGCTGGTGATGATGATGATGAAGATGATTACGGTGCTGAAGGTGACGATGCTGCTGATGATGATGTTGCTAATGGTGATGCTGATGTTGTCGGGGCTGGTGATGATGATGCTGATGATGATGTTGCTAATGGTGATGATGATGATGCTGTCGGGGCTGGTGATGATGATGAAGATGATTATGGTGCTGAAGGTGATGGTGCTACTGGTGATGATGCTGCTGATGCTGATGATGATGTTGCTAATGGTGATGCTGATGATGATGTTGTCGGGGCTGGTGATGATGATGCTGATGATGATGTTGATGTTGCTAATAGTGATGATGATGAAGATGATTATGGTGCTGAAGGTGATGGTGCTACTGGTGATGATGCTGCTGATGCTGATGATGATGTTGCTAATGGTGATGATGATGTTGATGTTGCTAATGGTGATGATGATGCTGATGTTGATGTTGCTAATAGTGGTGATGATGATGATGATGTTGTCGGGGCTGGTGATGATGATGCTGATGATGATGCTGATGTTGCTAATGGTGATGATGATGTTGATGTTGCTAATGGTGATGATGATGCTGATGTTGATGTTGCTAATAGTGGTGATGATGATGATGATGTTGTCGGGGCTGGTGATGATGATGCTGATGTTGCTAATGGTGATGATGATGTTGATGTTGCTAATAGTGATGATGATGCTGATGATGATGTTGATGTTGCTAATGGTGATGATGCTGATGATGATGTTGCTAATAGTGATGATGATGATGATGTTGCTAATAGTGATGATGATGATGTTGCTAATAGTGATGATGCTGATGATGATGTTGATGTTGCTAATGATGATGATACTGATGATGATGTTGTCGGGGCTGGTGCGTGCAGGGTGCATGCGTTGGAGGAGGCGGTGCGCGAAGGCGAGGAACGTTCGGAGGAGCGGCTGGAGCAGGAGGAGAGGCGCTGCCGCGAGCGGACGGTGCGGGCACACAGAGAGGCGGAGGTGGAGATGGATAGCGTGGCCAGCAGGTACCATCATCAACATCACCACTCAACATCAACACTCAACATCACCACTCATCATCAACATCACCACTCAACATCAACATCACCACTCATCATCACCATTAACATCACCACTCATCATCAACATCACCACTCAACATCAACACTCAACATTAACGTCACCACTCATCATCAACATCACCACTCAACATCAACATCACCACTCAACATCAACACTCAACATCAACACTCAACATCAACACTCAACATTAACGTCACCACTCATCATCAACATCACCACTCAACATCAACACTCAACATCAACACTCAACATTAACGTCACCACTCATCATCAACATCACCATTAACATCACCACTCATCATCAACATCACCACTCAACATCAACACTCAACATCAACATCACCATTAACGTCACCACTCATCATCAACATCACCACTCAACATCAACACTCAACATCAACATCACCATTAACGTCACCACTCATCATCAACATCACCATTAACATCACCACTCATCATCAACATCACCACTCAACATCAACATCACCACTGAACATCACCACTCAACATCAACATCACCACTCATCATCAACATCACCACTCAACATCAACACTCAACATCAACACTCAACATCAACACTCAACATCAACACTCAACATCAACATCAACACTCAACATCAACACTCAACATCAACACTCAACATCAACACTCAACATCAACACTCAACATTAACACTCAACATTAACATCACCACTCAACATCAACATCACCACTCAACATCAACATCACCACTCAACATCAACATCACCACTCAACATCAACATCAACACTCAACATCAACATCAACACTCAACATCAACACTCAACATCAACACTCAACATCAACACTCAACATTAACATCACCACTCAACATCACCACTCACCATCAACATCACCACTCAACATCAACATCACCACTCAACATCAACATCACCACTCATCATCGACATCACCACTCAACATCAACATCACCACTCAACATCACCACTCAACATGACCATTAACATCACCACTCATCATCAACATCACTACTCAACATCACCACTCAACATCACCACTCAACATCACCACTCAACATCACCATTAACATCACCACTCACCATCACCACTCACCATCACCACTCATCATCAACATCACCACTCATCATCAACATCACCACTCAACATCACCATTAACATCACCACTCAACATCACCACTCACCATCACCATCAACATCACCACTCACCACTCACCATCAACATCACCACTCATCATCAACATCACCACTCACCATCAACATCACCACTCAACATCAACATCACCACTCAACATCACCACTCACCATCAACATCACCACTCAATATCACCACTCAACATCACCACTCACCATCAACATCACCACTCACCACTCAACATCACCACTCAACATCAGCACTCACCATCAACATCACCACTCACCATCAACATCACCACTCAACATCACCACTCACCATCAACATCACCACTCATCGTCAACATCACCACTCAACATCACCACTCACCATCAACATCACCACTCAACAGCACCACTCACCATCAACATCACCACTCAACATCCACATCACCGCTTACCATCAACATCACCATCAACATCACCACTCAACATCCACATCATCACCATCATCATCTTTATCATCGTTGCCAGGAGTAACAGCATTAGCTGAATCGTCATCATCATCATCATCAGCAGCAGCACGATCGCCATTCCTGTCATAGTCATCACTAGCAGTACCAGCAGAAATTGTAGAATCATCATCATTAGCAGCAGCATCTTAATCAATAGTGTCATCATCATCATCATCACCAGAAGAAACAGCAGCATTAGCATCATCATCAGCAGCAGCAGCAGTAGCAACAAAAATTGTAGAATCATCATCATCAGCAGCAGCATCTTAATCAATAGTGTCATCATCACTAGAAGAAACAGCAGCATTAGCATCATCATCAGCAGCAGTAGCAAGAGAAATTGTAGAATCATCATCATCAGCAGCAGCAGCAGCATCTTAATCAATAGTGTCATCATCACTAGAAGAAACAGCAGCATTAGCATCATCAGCAGCAGCAGCAGTAGCAACAGAAATTGTAGAATCATCATCATCAGCAGCATCTTAATCAATAGTGTCATCATCATCACCAGAAGTAGCAGCAGCATTAGCGTCATCAGCAGCAGTAGCAACAGAAATTGTGAATCATCATCATCAGCAGCAGCAGCAGCATCTTAATCAATAGTGCCATCATCACTAGAAGAAGCAGCAGCATTATCATCATCATCAGCAGCAGCAGCAACAGCATCTTAATCAACAGTGTCATCATCGCCAGTAGAAACAGCAGCATTGTCATCATCATCAGCAGTACCAGCAGAAATTGTAGAATCATCATCATCAGCAGCAGCATCTTAATCAATAGTGTCATCATCATCACCAGAAGTAGCAGCAGCAGCAACATCGTCACACCCTGAAGCAGGGGTTCTTAGGACAGAGATACATGGATTAAAAACAAGAAACCACGGTACCATGTTCCACTGAATTTACGTAGAGACTCATTCACTGGGCCGGCTTGCCGTCCTTGCAGTTGAGTGAAGGTCTCCACCCACCCACCCCTCTCTCCCCTCCCCCCTCTGGGTGAGCTGCTTGCAGGCTGCTGGAGGCGGAGGAAGAGAACGAGGAGCTGAAGATGAGTATCCCTCGTCTCAGGTCGCAGATCGAGAAGCTGGAGGAGGTGAGGTGGTCGGGGGGTTAACACTGACAGTGAGGGAAACAAGTATTTGATGCCCTGCTGATTTTGTACGTTTGCCCACTGACGAAGAAATGATCAGTCTATAATTTTGATGGTAGGTTTGTTTGAACAGTGAGAGACAGAATAACAGCAACAAAAATCCAGAAAAACGCACGTCAAAAATGTTATAAATTGATTTGCATTTCAACGAGGGAAATAAGTATTTGACCCCTCTGCAAAACGTGACTTAGTACTTGGTGGCAAAACCCTTGTTGGCAATCAGAGAGGTCAGACGTTTCTTGTAGTTGGCCACCATGGTTTGCACACATCTCAGGAGGGATTTTGTCCCACTCCTCTTTGCAGATCTTCTCCAAGTCATTAAGGTTTCGAGGCTGACGTTTGTAAACTCGAACCTTCAGCTCCCTCCACATATTTTCTATGGGATTAAGGTCTGGAGACTGGCTAGGCCACTCCAGGACCTTAATGTGCTTCTTCTTGAGCCACTCCTTTGTTGCCTTGGCCGTGTGCTTTGGGTCATTGTCATGCTGGAATACCCATCCACGACCCAATTTCAATGCCCTGGCTGAGGGAAGGAGGTTCTCACCCAAGATTTGACGGTACATGGCCCCGTCCATTGTCCCTTTGATGCGGTGAAGTTGTCCTGTCCCCTTAGCAGAAAAACACCCCAAAAGCATAATGTTTCCACCTCCATGTTTGACGGTGGGGATGGTGTTCTTGGGGTCATAGGCAGCATTCCTCCTCCTCCAAACACGGCGAGTTGAGTTAATGCCAAAGAGCTCCATTTTGGTCTCATCTGACCACAACACTTTCACCCAGTTGTCCTCTGAATCATTCACATGTTCATTGGCAAACTTCAGACGGGCATGTATATGTGCTTTCTTGAGCAGGGGGACCTTGCGGGCGCTGCAGGATTTCAGTCCTTCACAGCGTAGTGTGTTACAAATTGTTTTCTTAGTGACTATGGTCCCAGCTGCCTTGAGATCATTGACAATATCCTACTGTGTAGTTCTGGGCTGATTCCTCACCGTTCTCATGATCATTGCAACTCCACGAGGTGAGATCTTGCATGGAACCCCAGGCCGAGGGAGATTGACAGATATTTTGTGTTTCTTCCATTTGCGAATAATCGCACCAACTGTTGTCACCTTCTCACCAAGCTGCTTGGCAATGGTCGTGTAGCCCATTCCAGCCTTGTGTAGGTCTACAATCTTGTCCCTGACATCCTTGGAGAGCTCCTTGGTCTTGGCCATGGTGGAGAGTTTGGAATCTGATTGATTGATTGCTTCTGTAGACAGGTGTCTTTTATACAGGTAACAAGCTGAGATTAGGAGCACTCCCTTTAAGAGTGTGCTCCTAATCTCAGCTCGTTACCTGTATAAAAGACACTTGGGAGCCAGAAATCTTTCTCATTGAGAGGGGGTCAAAATACTTATTTCCCTCATTAAAATGCAAATCAATTTATAACATTTTTGACATGCGTTTTTCCGGATATTTTTGTTGTTATTCTGTCTCTCACTGTTCAAATAAACCTACCATTAAAATTATAGACTGATCATTTCTTTGTCAGTGGGCAAACGTACAAAATCAGCAGGCGATCAAATACTTTTTCCCTCACTGTAGCAGTCCGTAGCAAGAGGCATTTGCCACCGATATGGTCCGTAATTGAGGGGGGGGGGGTTTGGGGGGGTAAGATCGAGAAAAATACGACGTCTCGCCAGTAATTACAACCAGCTTCATCAGGCAACAGCCAGATTTGTGGAGAAGTCTTTCTGTTTCATTCCTCACTCACTCATTCACTCACTCACTCACTCCTCACTCACTCTTCACTCACTCACTCACTCCTCACTCACTCACTCACTCCTCACTCACTCACTTACTCACTCCTCACTCACTCGCTCCTCACTCACTCACTCCTCACTCACTTCCCACTCACTCCTCACTCACTCACTGACTCACTCCTCACTCACTCACTCACTCCTCACTCACTTACTCCTCACTCACTCACTCCTCACTCACTTCCCACTCACTCATCACTCACTCATCACTCACTCACTCATTCACTTCTCACTCACTCACTCAACCTCATCATCCTCATCCTCTTCATCATCAGCCTCATCATCATCCTCCTCCTCACTCACTCCTCACTCACTCACTCACTCCTCACTCACTCCTCACTCACTCACTCACTCCTCACTCACTCACTCATCACTCACTCATCACTCACTCACTCACTCCTCACTCACTCCTCACTCACTCACTCATCACTCACTCATCACTCACACGTCACTCACTCACTCCTCACTCACTCACTCCTCACTCACTCCTCACTCACTCACTCCTCACTCACTCCTCACTCACTCACTCACTCCTCACTCACTCCTCACTCACTCCTCACTCACTCACTCACTCCTCACTCATCACTCACTCACTCCTTACTCACTCACTCACTCACTCCTCACTCACTCCTCACTCCCTCACTCACTCCCTCACTCACTCACTCCTCACTCACTCCTCACTCACTCCTCACTCACTCACTCACTCACTCACTCCTCACTCACTCCTCACTCACCCCTCACTCACTCACTCACTCCTCACTCATCACTCACTCACTCCTTACTCACTCACTCACTCACTCCTCACTCACTCCTCACTCCCTCACTCACTCCCTCACTCACTCCTCACTCACTCATTCACTCACTCCTCACTCACTCACTCACTCCTCACTCACTCACTGACTCACTCCTCACTCACTCACTCGCTCACTCACTCACTCATCACTCACTCATCACTCACTCACTCACTTCTCACTCACTCATTCACTCAACCTCATCATCCTCATCCTCTTCATCATCATTCTCATCATCCTCCTCATCATCCTCATCATCCTCATCATCATCTTCATCATCATCATCCTCATCATCATCCTCCTCATCATCATCCTCTTCATCATCAGCCTCATCGTCATCCTCATCATCCTCTTCATCATCATCCTCATCATCATCCTCATCATCATCCTCTTCATCACCATCCTCATCGTCATCCTCATCATCCTCATCATCCTCTTCATCATCATACTCATCATCATCCTCATCCTTCATCCTCCTCATCCTCCTCCTCCTCCTCCTCCCCCTGCTGCTGCTGCTCGACGCTGCGTGCCCGTGTTGTCGAGCAGGAGAAGACGCGGCTCCAGGAGAAGCTGCGCGAGCTGCTGACGAGGCTCCAGGAGGAGGGCCGCCTCAGCCAGCAGCTCGCGGCGCGCGTGAGGCGCGACCGGCGCGAGTTCCAGCGCGAGACGGAGGAGACGCAAGCGGTGAGGACGCTGGTGGTGGTGGTGGTGGTGGCGGTGGTGGTGGTGGTGGTGGTGGCGGTGGTGGTGGTGGTGGTGGTGGCGGTGGTGGTGGTGGTGGTGGCGGCGGTGGTGGTGGTGAGGATGGTGGTGGTGGTGGTGGGGCGGTGGTGGTGGTGGCGGTGGTGGTGGTGAGGATGGTGGTGGTGGTGGTGGTGGTGGCGGTGGTGGTGGTGAGGATGGTGGTGGTGGTGGTGGGGCGGTGGTGGTGGTGGCGGTGGTGGTGGTGAAGATGGTGGTGGTGGTGGTGGGGCGGTGGTGGTGGTGGCGGTGGTGGTGGTGGTGGGGGCGGTGGTGGTGAGGACGGTGGTGGTGGTGGCGGTGGTGGTGGTGGTGAGGACGGTGGTGGTGGTGGTGGTGGGGGCGGTGGTGGTGAGGACGCTGGTGGCGGTGGTGGTGGTGGTGGGGGCGGTGGCACAACAACCCCCTATCTCCTCGCGGTGCCGGACGGGCAACGCTCTCGTGGGCAGTGCCGTGGGGGGGGAGGGCCAATTCGAGATTGGACTTTCCCCTCATGGCATTTGTAGCCACCACAGCGGCTAAATGGGGGCTCTGGACGGGTGCGAGGGGCTGGTGGCCCCTCCACCCTCAATAAATTACCGCTAAACCACGACCACAAAATGTAATACATAAGCTTGTGCCGGAGGACCCCGGAGGGGACAGGCGTCTATGACGTCTCTCCTGGCCAAACCCCATTTGGCGGAGCCAGGAGACTGAATCCTTACCCTCGGGGCTCCTCCAGAAACAACGAAAAACCACTACGTGTGGCCACGTGGAATGTTTGAACGCTCACTGCGGAGGAGAGGCTGCCACTACTCTGTCGGGAGCTGGACCGGTACCGCCTGGATCTCTGTGGTAATCAGGAGGTCCGGTGGACCGACTCTGGCTCCTGCCACCATGAGGGGTGGACAGTCCTCTACTCGGGGCAGGAGACTAAAATAATGAAGGGGGCGTGGGAGCGTAGCGGTGAGGTGTGGGAAACTGTAAGCCCCAGGCTACTTTGGGCTCGCCTTCCCATCAACCGGAGGCGAGGAGTGGTGGTCGTGGTTACTTATACCCCCACCGACGATGAACATCCGTGGAGGGATGCAGGCAAGGCCGATGGGTCAGATGCCTTCTATGACCTCCTGTCACAGGTGCTATTTAAAGTGGCCCCTCGGGATAGAGGCATCTTGTTGGGCGACTTCAATGCCCGAGTTGTTCATGATGCTGGCACCTGGTCTGGAGTGATTGGAAGGTATTGGCCAGATCAGCTCAATAACAACAACAGGAGGCTGCTAGATGTTTGTGCAGCCCATGGGGTTGTAATTACCAATACGCTGTTCCGGCATCGGCGCATCCACACCACTTCATGGATGCATGCCGGGTCCAAGCAAGAACATCTGCTGGACTACATAGTGACGGACCAGCGGATGCGAACCCATGTCCTTGACACCAGGACCTACCGTGGAGCTGATCTGCGCACTGACCATCGACTTGTCATCTGTAAGATGCGCCTGCCATTCTTCCACTCCGGTGGTGGGTGTACACCCAGGACCCAATTCAAACCATTAGTGGCAAGGTCTCAGCTAGCAGATGAAAATTGCAAGCGAGAATTTCATCTGGGGTTGGTATTGTCCCGCACTCCTCCTGATGTCGAGGGTAAATGGGCGAGGTTTAGGACTGTGACTCATGGAGCTGCAATGGCTGCTTTGGGTATGCGGTCCAGACCTCCCCAGAGACCGTGGCTGACAGAGGAGGTGTTCAGGATAGTTGAGAAAAAGCGACAGGCCCACTGTCATTGGCTACAGAATCCCACGTCAGAGAATGAGGAGGCTTACCGCAGCCTTCGCTCGGAGGTTCGGAGAGCCATGAGGCGCTGCAAGGATAGGTGGTGGTCGTGGGTTGCTGAGGAGAAGGAGTCTGCCTCAGTGGCCCGCGATCACAAATCGCTCTATAAAAAGTAACCTGCAGTGCCACACCTATTACCATCATTGGGGGAAAGAACGGTGATCAAATCTATGACACCCAGGAACAGGTTTGCAGATTGGCTGAACATTTCTGTGAGGTCCTGGGGGAGGGAAAATCCCCATGCCAGGAAAACATCGTGGCACAAAGTGAGGATGACCCTGCTCAGGCTGTAGTGCCTCAAATATTGGAGAAGGAAGTCACCCCCTGTGAGTGGCTGGCTGAGGTGCCATCTGTTTAGGAAGTAGTGAAGGCAATCCAGAGTCTGAGACCAGGAAAGGCACTGGGCAGAGATGATCTCCCAAGCGAAATGCTGAGGGAGGTTGGCGTTTGTGCACAGACTGCCCTATATGACATCATAACAACAGTCTGGACGACCGGAGGGGTTCCGCAGGATTGGAAGGATGCCCTGGTGGTCTCCCTCTTTAAGAAGGGGTACTGCACAGACTGTAACAACTACAGGGGCATCTCACTCCTCAGTGTGCCGGGAAAGGTCCTGACCAAGGATTATTCAACATCGCCTTGCTAGGCATGCTGAGGACAGGCTTGCGGAGCCCCAATGCGTTTTCAGGAAAGGGCGGTCCGCCCAGATGCCATATTTTCTGTCCGTCTGCTACAGAATAGGTGTAGGGAATTCCAACAAGACCTACATCTCTACTTTATTGACCTGGTCAAGGCCGATGATACCATCAGTAGGCCTGGGCTTTGGGTTGTTCTTCGTGCTTTCAGAGTACCTGACACTCTGCTCACGATCGTTAAGGACCTTCATGATGGTGAGCGGGCCCGGGTAAAACTACGTGGCCGGGAGTTAGAGCCATTCCCTGTACACCTTGGGGTGCAACAGGGATGTCCTCTGGCTCCCGCATTATTTAACATCTTTTTTGACCACGTAGTTCGTGAGGCCTTTAATAGCTCTACTGGAGGAATTTCCATTTGGTACAGATACAATGGGAGGCTGATCGATGCCCGGGTGCGGTTAAGGGATGGCTCCCTATTGCTCAACCACGTTATGTATGCCGATGATCTGGTAATTTCTGCTCACTCAGAGGAGGAGTTGGAGGCGCTGCTGCTGAACCTGGAGCTTGCCACCAAGAGGTGGGGCCTTACCATCAGCCCCACCAAAACTAAGCACCTGCCTGGGTATTTTGTACCATCGGACACTCCACCCCCACAACTCCTAATCGGTGATGGGCCAGTTGTCGAGAGAGTGGAGAGTTTCCCATATCTGGGCAGTGTGCTCATGGCCGGCTCCAGTTTGACAGCAGAGGTCTCACTCCGAATCAGTCGAGCGGAAATATCTTTTCATCGGTTGCGTAACGCTGTGTGGAAGCTACCCGGTCTGTAGCTCCGCACTCAGCTTCAGGTCTTCTCGGCCACGGTCATTCTCTCCCTTCTCTACGCTTGCGAAATGTGGACCCCCTTAATGGAACATCTTCGCCGGTTAGAAACATTTAGGCTAGCCGGCCTACGATCCATCCTGGGTATAACCAGGCTGGATTGTGTGAGCTCACAAATCCTTAAAAGATGTGGACAAAGTCTCATCGGTGAGCTCCTCCGGCAGGCAAGGCTGCGTTGGCTGGGTCATGTAGCCCGCATGCCCAGCCACCGCATGCCGAAACAGCTTTTGTTCGGCCGGATCGAGGGGGATAAACGGGCACGGCACGGGCTAGAGAAGAGATGGAGTGATGTGGTACAGGAGGACGTGGAGCTGAGTGGACTTGCCGATGACTGGTACCAGCGGTGTCAAGATCGGCCTCTGTAGAGGAGGCTCGTGAAGGACGCTGCTGGGCAGTTGAAGGCAGTCGCCCTCCAACAACAACGCAGGGCGGAGGAGCGACGCTCACAACAACGAGCGGAGTGCCGGGTGGCTAAAGCACAGCAAGGTGGCACAGTAGGGGGCACAGGTGGTGCATCAGCCAGTCGTCTCAGTCAGTCGACCCGTGGCATCTGCTGGGTCTGCCCCGTGACCTCCTGCCAGCGGGTGTTCGACACTTCACGTGGCCTCAAGGTGCACATAGCCTGGCACAAGCGTCGTGGTGGCGAATGTCGGTTGTTGTTGTTGTTGGCGGTGGTGGTGGCCGTGGTGGCAGTGGTGGTGGTGGTCGTGACAGTGGTGGTGATGGCGGTGGCGGCGGTGGTGGTGGTGACAGTGATGGCGGTGAGGACGGTGGTGTCGGTGGTGGTGGCAGTGAGGACAGTGGTGGTGGTGGTGGTGGTGGCGGTGGTGGTGGTGGTGGTGGCGGTGGTGGTGGTGACGGTGGTGGCGGTGACAGCGGTGGTGACGGTGACAGTGGTGGTGACGGTGACAGTGGTGGTGATGATGGCGGTGGTGTTGTGGTCGTCGTTGCTATCATTGTTGCGGCCCATCACCTTTGTGCTCGTTGTTGTTGTTGTCGTCGTCGTCGTTGTTGTTGTTGTTGTCGTCTCGGTCAGCTGGTGGAGGACCTGCGCCGCGAGCTGCTACACCAGCAGCAGCTGCGCCGCTCGGAGCGCGGGGGGCCCGGGGGCTGGGGGGCCGGCGGGGGGAGCGGGGGGGCGGGGCGCACGCCGCGTGAGGGCGAGCTGGAGGGGGAGGTGCGGAGGCTGAGACAGGTAACACTCACCCGAGCACTCACCCGAGCACTCACCCGAACACTCACCCTCACACTCACCCTCACACTCACCCGAACACTCACCCGAGCACTCACCCGAACACTCACCCCCACGCTCACCCGAGCACTCACCCTCACACTCACCCGAACACTCACCCGAACACTCACCCGAGCACTCACCCGAACACTCACCCTCACACTCACCCTCACACTCACCCGAACACTCACCCGAGCACTCACCCGAACACTCACCCCCACGCTCACCCGAGCACTCACCCTCACACTCACCCTCACACTCACCCGAACACTCACCCGAGCACTCACCCCCACGCTCACCCGAGCACTCACCCTCACACTCACCCTCACACTCACCCGAACACTCACCCGAGCACTCACCCCCACGCTCACCCGAGCACTCACCCGAACACTCACCCGAGCACTCACCCGAACACTCACCCGAGCACTCACCCCCACGCTCACCCGAGCACTCACCCGAACACTCACCCGAGCACTCACCCGAACACTCACCCGAGCACTCACCCCCACGCTCACCCGAGCACTCACCCGAACACTCACCCGAGCACTCACCCGAACACTCACCCGAGCACTCACCCGAGCACTCACCCGAGCACTCACCCGAGCACTCACCCGAACACTCACCCGAGCACTCACCCGAACACTCACCCGAACACTCACCCGAGCACTCACCCCCACGCTCACCCGAGCACTCACCCGAACACTCACCCGAGCACTCACCCGAACACTCACCCGAGCACTCACCCGAGCACTCACCCGAGCACTCACCCGACCACTCACCCGAGCACTCACCCGAGCACTCACCCGAACACTCACCCGAGCACTCACCCGAACACTCACCCGAGCACTCACCCGAGCACTCACCCGAGCACTCACCCGAGCACTCACCCGCACACTCACCCGAGCACTCACCCGAGCACTCACCCGAGCACTCACCCGAGCACTCACCCGAGCACTCACCCGAACACTCACCCGAGCACTCACCCGAGCACTCACCCGAGCACTCACCCGAGCACTCACCCGAACACTCACCCGAACACTCACCCGAGCACTCACCCGAGCACTCACCCGAACACTCACCCGAGCACTCACCCGAGCACTCACCCGAGCACTCACCCGAGCACTCACCCGCACGCTCACCCGAGCACTCACCCGAACACTCACCCGAGCACTCACCCGAGCACTCACCCGAGCACTCACCCGAGCACTCACCCCCACACTCACCCTCACACTCACCCGAGCACTCACCCGAGCACTCACCCCCACACTCACCCGCACGCTCACCCGCACGCTCACCCGCACACTCACCCCCACACTCACCCGTACGCTCACCCGCACGCTCACCCCCACGCTCACCCGCACGCTCACCCGCACGCTCACCCGTACGCTCACCCGCACGCTCACCCCCACGCTCACCCCCACGCTCAACCCCACGCTCACCCGCACGCTCACCCGCACGCTCACCCGTACGCTCACCCCCACGCTCACCCCCACGCTCACCCCCACGCTCAACCCCACGCTCACCCGCTCGCTCACCCCGACGACGGTGATGATGACGATGATGATGATGATGATGACGACGACGATGACGATGATGAGGACGACACCCCTGGTCAGGAGAACGGCAAGCTGAAGGAGTCGAACGAGGAGCTGAACGGGCAGCTCGTGGGGCTGGGCCTGCATGAGGCCAAGGGCCTCCTGTCGGCCGCCGCCAAGTCTCAGTCCCTGGCCGCCGAGATCGACTCAGCCTCACGGGGCCAGGTCAGTCTGAACTCGCCCCCCCCCCCACCCCCACTCTCTACACCCCCCACTCACACCACCCCCCACCCTCACACCCCCTCATCTCACCCCCACTCTCTACACCCCCCACTCACACCTTCATCCTCACGCCCCCACCTTCACCCCCTCCTCACCCCCCCTCATCCCACCCTCACCCCCCCCACCCTCACCCCCCCCACCCTCACCCCCCCCACCCCCACTCTCTACACCCCCCACTCACACCACCCCCCACCCTCACACCCCCTCATCACACCCTCACCCCCACTCTCTCCACACTCTCTACACCCCCCACTCACACCACCCTCCTCACCCCCCCCCACCTTCACCCCCTCCTCACCCCCCCTCATCCCACCCTCACCCCCCCCCCCCACCCTCACCCCCCCCACCCCCACTCTCTTCACCCCCCCACTTTCTCCACCCCCCCACCTTCACCCCCCTCCTCACCCCCCCTCACCCCCACTCTCTCCACACTCTCTACACCCCCCACTCACACCACCCCCCACCCTCACACCCCCACCCCCACCTTCACCTCCCTCCTCACCCCCCCTCACCCCACCCTCACCCCCCCCCCCACCCACTCTCTCCACCCCCCCTCACTCCCCCCTACTCTCTCCATCCCCACCCCACACCCCCTCACCCCCTCCCACTCTCTCCACCCCCCTCACCCCTCTCACCCCCCCACCCTCACCCCCCTCACCCTCCACTCACCCCCCCACCCTCACCCCCCCTCACCCACCCTCACCCCCCCTCACCTCACCCCCCACTCTCCCAACCCCCCTCACCCCCCCACCCTCACCCCCCCTGCTGATGACGATGCTCCAGTTGCCGAAGATGCCCATGATGCCGATGATGATACCGATGATGATGATGCTCTGGCTGCTGATGATGATTGTACTCTTATACTGCTGATGATGATGAGGATGCTTCTGGTGATGATAATGCTGCTGAGAATTATTATGATGATGCTGCTGCTACTTCTGCTACTGATGATGACGACAATGATGTTGCTGATTATTCTGGTGCTGCTGCTGATGATGTTGCTGCCAATGATGCTGATGGTGATGATGCTGATGGTGATGATGATGTGTGGTGATTGCAGCTGATGGACGCTCTGAAGGAGCTGGAAGGGATCAACTTCCACCTTCGTCAGTACATGGACAAGATCATCCTCGCCATCATCGATCACAGCCCGTCCATCCTGGAGATCCGGCGATGAGCTCACCGCTCAGCGCTCACCACTCACCGCTCACCACTCACCACTCACCGCTCACCACTCACTCACAACCCGTTCGTCATGGAGATCCGGCGATCAGCTCACCGCTCACCACTCACCGCTCTCCGCTCACCACTCACTCAGAGCCCGTTCGTCATGGAGATCTGGCGATGAGCTCACCGCTCCTCATCACTCACTACTATCCACTTACTGTTCACGACTCACCACTCAAATCGCTCACCACTGAAACTCACTCAAAGCCCGTTCATTATGGAGATCCGGCGATTAAACTCCCCACTCACTCACTACTCACCACACACTCACCACTCACCACACACTCACCACTCACTCACCACTCACCACACACCACACACTCACCACTCACCACACACTCACCACTCACCACACACTCACCACACACTCACCACACACACATACACAGCCAGCCCATCCATCATGAAGATCCGGCGACGAGCTCACCGCTCACTACTCACCGCTCACTACTCACCGCTCACTACTCACCGCTCACTACTCACCAATCACTACTCACCAATCACACTCACCACTCACTACTCACCAATCACACTCACCACTCACTACTCACCAATCACACTCACCACTCACTACTCACCAATCACACTCACCACTCACTACTCACCACTCACTACTCACCAATCACTACTCACCAATCACACTCACCACTCACTACTCACCACTCACTACTCACCAATCACTACTCACCAATCACACTCACCACTCACTACTCACCACTCACTACTCACCAATCACTACTCACCAATCACACTCACCACTCACTACTCACCGCTCACTACTCACCAATCACTACTCACCAATCATACTCACCACCCACTACTCACCACCCACTACTCACCACCCACTACTCACCAATCACTACTCACCAATCACACTCACCACCCACTACTCACCACCCACTACTCACCACCCACTACTCACCACTCACTACTCACCACTCACTACTCACCACTCACTACTCACCACTCACTACTCACCAATCACACTCACCACCAACTACTCACCACCCACTACTCACCGCTCACACTCACCACTCACTACTCACCAATCACACTCACCACTCACTACTCACCACTCACTACTCACCACTCACTACTCACCAATGACACTCACTCGCAGGTCGTCCATCATGGGTATCCTGCGATGAGCTCACCGCTCACCCCTTACCGCTCACACCTCACCGCTCACCCCTCACCGCTCACCCCTCACCGCTCACCCCTTACCGCTCACCCCTTACCGCTCACCCCTCACCGCTCACCCCTCACCGCTCACCCCTTACCGCTCACCCCTTACCGCTCACCCCTTACCGCTCACCCCTTACCGCTCACCCCTTACCGCTCACCCCTCACCGCTCACCCCCTCACCGCTCACCCCTTACCGCTCACCCCTTACCGCTTACCGCTCACCGCTCACCCCTTACCGCTCACCCCTCACCGCTCACCCCTTACCGCTCACCCCTTACCGCTCACCCCTTACCGCTCACCCCTTACCGCTCACCCCTTACCGCTCACCCCTTACCGCTCACCCCTTACCGCTCACCCCTCACCGCTCACCCCTCACCGCTCACCCCTTACCGCTCACCCCTTACCGCTCACCCCTTACCGCTCACCCCTTACCGCTCACCCCTTACCGCTCACCCCTTACCGCTCACCCCTTACCGCTCACCCCTCACCGCTCACCCCTCACCGCTCACCCCTCACCGCTCACCCCTCACCGCTCACCCCTCACCGCTCACCCCTTACCGCTCACCCCTTACCGCTCACCCCTTACCGCTCACCCCTGACCGCTCACCCCTTACCGCTCACCCCTCACCGCTCACCCCTTACCGCTCACCCCTTACCGCTCACCCCTCACCGCTCACCCCTCACCGCTCACCCCTCACCCCTCACCGCTCACCCCTTACCGCTCACCCCTCACCGCTCACCCCTTACCGCTCACCCCTTACCGCTCACCCCTCACCGCTCACCCCTCACCGCTCACCCCTCACCCCTCACCGCTCACCCCTCACCGCTCACCCCTCACCGCTCACCCCTTCCCGCTCACCCCTTACCGCTCACCCCTTACCGATCACCCCTTACCGCTCACCCCTTACCGCTCACCCCTCACCGCTCACCCCTCACCGCTCACCCCTCACCCCTCACCCCTTACCGCTCACCCCTTACCGCTCACCGCTCTCACCTTCACCAACCACGCAAGCCCCTATGTCGTGACGATTCAGCTATGTGGGGGGTGGGGTGTCACGTGCCCCCCCCCCCCCCCCCAATGATCCGATAGAAATCCCTAATTTCGATCGGATCATTGGGAGTTTATTCGTAATAAATCGGCATTTTGCGACACCCACTGCCACTATGTAGCATATTATTATTATTACGTGGCCAGGGACTCTACGAGATGATAGGACAATAGTCTGAGTCCATAATTGGCAATAAGTAACGGCAAAGCGGTTTATAAGCGACTCACAGAATTGTGCGCGGTTGCGTCTACAGAGTCCACGACTTCCCTGAAGGCATCGACACCTTCAGCAAGCGCGATGGCGATCACACACAACGCGGTTCGCAATTGGACCCCTCGGTCGATGGACTGCCCCATCGCCGCACACGCGTCGAGTACAAATCAAGGGACAAGTCCTCGCTTACTAACAACTCCTTACTAACAACTCCTTAATTACAACAAGTACTTGCTTACTAACAACTCCTTACTTACTAACAACTCCTTACTAACAACTCCTTAATTACTAACAAGTCCTCGCTTACTAACAACTCCTTACTAACAACTCCTTAATTACAACAAGTACTTGCTTACTAACAACTCCTTACTAACAACTCCTAACTAGCAACTCCTTAATTACTAACAAGTTCTTGCTTACTAACAACTCCTTACTTACTAACAACTCCTTACTTCATGAGACCTCCTTTGCCAGTACTAAAATGTAATAATAATAGGGGTTTCCCCTTTTTTCTGGCAACAACACTGAAATATTTTTTTACACGAGGATTCATGTTTACTGCATCAACCACAATACCTGCAGTCAAAACGCAAACAAAAAACATACTATGATAATATTTCAGTGTTGTTGCCAGAAAAAAGGGGAAAACCCCTATTATTATTACGTTTTAGTACTGGCAAAGGAGGTCTACTGATGTAGATGCTCACCCCGAGCCCTCATTACTTTGATAGTGCATTGTCTTTGAGCTGTACGCCTTTTGGCGTCATCTGGTCGAGCAACAATTGGGTCGAGGCTCAAAAGAAAGCCGTCCCTTGGTGTGGACCAATCAGTTTCAAGGACAATGCCACATATATTATCATAGCGTGTTTTTTGTTTTCGTTTTGACTGCAGGTATTGTGGTTAATGCAGGAAACATGAATCCTCGTAAAAAGGTTTCAGTTTTGTTGCCAGAAAAAAGGGGAAAACCCTAACTCCTTACTTACTAACAACTCCTTAATTACTAACAACTCCTTAATTACTAACAACTCCTTACTTACTAACAACTCCTTACTAACAACTCCTTAATTACTAACAACTCCTTACTTACTAACAACTCCTTACTAACAACTACTTAATTACTAACAAGTCCTTACTTACTAACAACTCCTTACTAACAACTCCTTAATTACTAACAAGTCCTTGCTTACTAACAACTCCTTACTGACAACTCCTTAATTACTAACAAGTCCTTGCTTACTAACAACTCCTTACTAACAACTCCTTCATTTCTAACAACTCCTTACTTACTAACAACTCCTTACTAACAACTCCTTAATTACTAACAAGTCCTTACTTACTAACAACTCCTTACTAACAACTCCTTAATTACTAACAAGTCCTTACTTACTAACACCTCCTTACTAACAACTCCTTAATTACTAACAAGTCCTTACTTGTTAACAACTCCTTACTAACAACTCCTTAATTACTAACAAGTCCTTGCTTACTAACAACTCCTTACTAACAACTCCTTAATTACTAACAACTCCTTACTTAATAACAACTCCTTAATTACTAACAAGTCCTTACTTACTAACAACTCCTTACTAACAACTTCTTAATTACTAACAACTCCTTACTTACTAACAACTCCTCTATCATTTTTTCATTGCCCGAGTTGTTGCTCCCACCCCTTCTACCTGATCATCCTGGCTCCGCCATTGGCCACGTGACCTCCGCCCACCGCTGCACAACAGGAGCCATGGCTGTGGCCGTGCCGAGCCGGCCCGGCTCAGAAGGTAGCCCAGCTGCTGATGTTTTTCCACTGCGGAAGCCGGGCCGTGCCGCCGACGTCACACGCGCGCGACGAACGTAGCGGGGACGCGCGTGGGCGACGCGGTGGTGCTCACCGCGTGCCGACTGGTGTCACGCACGCAACGAACGCCTCATTAGCTCAGCCCCTGGCCCTGTCCTGCCCCAAGCCAGATCCTGACGCCTTCTTGTGAGGCCAGCAGCGTAGCACGGTTCGGTTCTGGCCCTGCAAGGAAAATAGTTGTAGTGGCAAAACCACCCGTACCGTGAGGGCCTCGGGCTGGCTCGGGTGTGGCAGTGGAAACACCGCCCGTGGAAGGGCCCCAGGCTGGCTCGGGTGTGGCAGTGGAAACACCACCCGTACCGTGAGGGCCTCGGGCTGGCTCGGGTGTGGCAGTGGAAACACCACTCGTACCGTGAGGGCCCCAGGTTGGCTCGGGTGTGGCAGTGGAAACACCACCCTTACCGTGAGGCCCTCAGGCTGGCTCTGGTGTGGCAGTGGAAACACCACCCGTACCGTGAGGGCCTCAGGCTGGCTCGGGTGTGGCAGTGGAAACACCACCCGTACCGTGAGGGCCCCAGGCTGGCTCAGGTGTGGCAGTGGAAACACCACCCGTACCCGCCAGGGAACCGCGCTGGCTCGGCTCGGACGTGCCAGCAGAATCGTGGCGCTCGAGTTCAGAGCTTGACCGGCGACCCATGACTCCAGTCCGGGACTCGTTTTGTTGTTGTTGTTGTGTCGACAAACGTCGCACTCCCACGGTGGGACAGGGCCAATCGCTCGGTCCGCCCATCACGTGGCGGTCACCCCCTTGACGAGTCTTCGGCTGGAGACGCCATCAACCTCCCCGGCTCGGGCTTCGCTTCGACAAGCGCGGCGGACGGAGGTTTTCGGTGGGGGGGGGGGGTGGGGGGGCGGATCCGACGATTTGAAATCGCGCTCCGTCTCCGGCGCGCGTGAACCGCGCCTCCTCCTCTCGGGCGCTCGCTCCCTCCTTTGACTTCCACTCCGCCCCTCGGTCTCGACCGCCGCCACCCCCCCCCTCCCTCCACCCACCCACCAACCACCCCCCCCCCCCCACCACCTTCACCGCTGACGCGTGGCCGCTCCGCGCAAATGTTTGTGAACGTTCAGCGGTCGATGTCTCTCCAACTTGCGCCCCCGGCCACAACCACGCCGCCCCACGCTTTCTCCGCGCACAGATTCCCTTCCGTCCTTCTCGTGGACGTGCGTTGCTGCTGCCGGTGACAACGAGAGCGACAGAACCACCGGGCGCGCTCATCGACAACAGCGATTGGCAGCGGGGTC